TATTGCTTTTCTTTAAAGAATTAGTTATTCCAATGATGACCAACTGGTGATGAATACTCAGCTCCTATTATTCTGAATAAATTAATTTTACCTTGATTGTTGGAAGTTATTTTTGTTAAGCAATAGATAACCTGAGTTGACAGTTTTTTTGTTTTGTTTTTCTTTCCCTTTTGATGCTTTAAAATCGTGGCTCCATTGTCTTGTTTTCTGGCTTTCTTAGATAGGAAGTCTTTTGTCCTTCTTTGTTTTGTATATGTAATCTATACATTTTTTTCTTTTGATTGCTTTTAAAATTTTCTCCTTATCATTCCTTTTTAGCAGTTTGGTTATGATGTACCTTGAGGGTAGGCTTATTTATTCTTTTTTAGTGTTACAGAGGTTTTTTTTTGATCTATAACACTATTTGTTATAACAAATTTGGTAAATTGTGTACCGTATTATCTTAAAATTTTTTTCCTCTGTTTTTTCTTTCCTGCTTCTTGGCTCTCCAATTATCTGCCTCTCCTTTTTTAAAAAAATTTGCTAAGTCAGTCACCGAGGGTCTGAGTTTAAGATTTTTCTCTCTGAAAAAAAAAAAAAAGATTTTTCAGTTTTATTTTGGATAGTTTCTAGGACGCTGTCTCTAAGTTCACTTATTTTTTTCTCCTGTTTAGTCTGCTGTTAACTGCATCCATTTTATCTTTCATTTTAGAAATATTTTGCTTTCATCTCTATAAATTCAGTTTTTGGTTTCTTGTTTACCTCCAGTTGGGATCATCCTGTTTTCTTCTTTTTTGAATATGGAACACATTTATACTATAGTTTTATAGTTCTGTTCTATTTATGTCCTCTCCTATCATGGCTGGTTCTGTATTTATTGACTTTTTCTGCCAGTGGGTCATATATTTTCTCCCCTTTAGCATACCTAATAATTTTGCAGTGTATGTCAGCTATTGAATTGTACTCTGTTGCCTGCTTGACTTGTAATCCTCAAGAGTGTTGAATTTATTTGGAGTGCAGTTAGATTATTTGGAGATTTTGGGTTTTTTTGAGGGTTTTAGGCTTTGTTAGTATGGTATAGTTTGGTTTTTAAGGTAACTTTTTTTTCAGCAAGTGTTTGAATGCCTGCTACTTTACAACACAAATATGTAAAAAACAGTATTAGCCAGCAAGGAACTTGGAAGAGGAAAGTATGCAAGCAACTGTAGCAAAGGATTAAAGGACATACCACTTGGGAACCGTAAAGAAGTGGTTATTAATTGGGCAAGAAGGGTAAAAGGAGAGGGGAGCCTCATCTTCTGCAAAGAGAGAGGTCCTAGAATTTGTGCCTGAAGGCTAAGTGGCAGGTTAGCTGATAGAAGTGAGAGGGTGGATTTGAGGGTAGTTTAGAGCAGATTAGGACTCTGTAATTTACTAGTTGTGATTGTAGAAATTGAGAGAAAGGCTTGGCTTTCTCTTTGGGGTGGGTTTATTGGCCCTTACTGAGATAGTGAATACTGGGGTAGATTCTTTTTTTGTCTTTTTTGGTCTTTTTTTTTCGTTTTTATCAGCGGCATAAGCAGGCAGTCATGAGTTTGATCCCTGGTACCGATAAAAACGGGGTAGATTCTTTAGGGAGAAAGTTTCATTTGTATTTTAACATACTGATTTTGAAGTACATCGGCTTGTCTTAGTCCTTTTTTTGGCTGGTATAACAAAATACCCGAGGCTAGGGCAGTGGTGGCAAACCTGTAGTACAAGCTTTACTGTGTTTTTCTTCTAAGAAAAAAGGTGTTACACTGTATCAGGTTTCTTTTCCTAAACTAAAATCTCAGCAGTTGATTTAATTGCAGTGTTGGCACTTTGTGATAAATAATTGGGTTTGGAGTTGCAGTTTGGGGTCTCAGTTTCTGAGAGATTCTCCATCAGTAGGTTAGGTACTTTATATTATAATCCCAAATACTGTGTATAGTCATCTAAGTGAGTATTGTAATCCTCTTTTCAGTTTTCCTCACAATCCAAAAAGTTATATTTATAATCCCATTGAGACGTTATTGAAAATCCCAGCAAGTTAATTTTTTTTGTTTTTTTGTCTTTTTCTTTTTTATCGGTACCGGGGATCGAACTCACGACTGGCTTATGCCGCTGAGCTAAATCCCCAGCCCCAAGTTAATTTTAATCTTATCACCACCAATGCAACCCACAGCAAGAGTAAAAATACCAAGACATATCCAAGTTAAGGGCAGCCCAGGGGTCCTAAATCTAATCCCCAGGAGGGAGGCATGCAGACAAAGGCCCTGATTCTAGGGCTCTCTCAGAATTTATTATCTTGTGAAGAAGAGGGGTGGCTCAGGGATGAGTGACAGTGAAGATGGCTGGAATTATGTGAGTAACTTGAGCTGGCTGGCCAGGTGAGAACAAGATATACAAAAGGATCAATTTACATAATCTAATTAAAGTAGCAACAAAATTGTTTTGGGAGGCTGTTGCTTTGATTTCTGATATGCAGACTCTTATACACTGGAGAGTTATAGCCGCTTGGTCTCCAAATAATCGAAGTCACAGTAATTGTTTTACATTCAAGGGGAGTCACTAGAGTTGAGTTGTCTCCCATACTTTATACAGAAAAGAGATCTATTTATTTCAGCTTTCGAGGCCGAATGTCTAAGATTGGCAGGCCTATATGCTGAGCCTCGGTTGAGGACCTTCTGCATGTATTGCAGTGTGGTGGTTGACATCATGGGAAGACTGTATGCATGAGAGAAAGCAATCACGGTGGGACAGGAAACTGGAGTACAGGGAGGGGCGGACACCCTTTGTAAAACCTGCCCTTGGAATACTAATTTAGTTCTGTGAATGCCAGAACTAGCATAGGACTTTATGAGGCTGTTCATGAGGGTGGTGCTGCAGGACTTAATTACCTCCCTCTGGCCTTCAGCTCTTAAGTCCCACTGCGTCCTCGCACTGCTGTACTGGTGACCAGATCTCCAGCCTATGAACTTCTAACCAGGAATATTATCCTTAGCAGGAAATTCAGTTGGAATTGTTTAATAGAAAATTGGATATAAGAAACTGAAACTCAAGTACTGAACTGAACTGAAAATACAAGTTAGGGAGTAAGTATTTGCATAGTTAAAAGCAAAGGTAGAAGCAAATTATCTTTGGAAAGCTAAATGGAATGAAAACCAGAAGACAAGAATGAAGGTAAGGAAATAATGTTTGAGTTAACAAGTTATGAAATAATTGAGGGAAGGAGACCAATATAATAGAAATTGTTTTTCAATCAGACATTACATAGTTTTTTATTTTTATTTTTTTTTATTGGTACCTGGGATCGGACTCACGATTGTGTGCTTGCAAGGCAGGTGCTTATGCCGCTGAGCTAAATCCCCAGCCCACATTACATAGTTCTTAAAAATCTGAATTTATAGATTCCGTGTAGACCTGATTATACAGTTCTACAAACTTACTTTTACACATTAGTAGGCATTATTTGAACTCATTCTCCAACAGCTGGGTAATAAGAGGGTGCATTAGTATTTTTGAATTAATGACTTTTTCTTTGTTCTGTAATTTGTCTTTCATTTGCTTTTGTTTTCCTCCAAGTCTAGGTTCACTTCATTCCTTTTATTATAACACCCTGCTTAGAATTCTTTTTTATTTACCCAGAATAAAGCACAAAACAAGCATTAAATGAAAAGTTTATTATAATACAGATTTTTTTGGGAAATAGTGTATTTTTGCTTTTCTTGAGCAATCTAAAACTACATTCTTTATAATGATGAGGAAGCCCTACATCCAGTGTTTTCCCTCCCCCAACAGCCCCTGTCTGTCTACATCATTTCGGAAGATGATTCTTTGCTTTGCTTTACCACACATATGCCATACCATCTCACTGGATTGACTTTGATGTTGCAGAGGTATTTTTTTGTAGATTTATGTTCTGTGTGAAACAGTGTTTTACTGTAAACACAAAGTGGTAGAGTATGACTTAGTAAATTAGTTTTCGTTCCTGATTGAAGCACGATGTAAGTATAGAACTAATTTTTTATCCTTATTAATTTTAAACAGGGGTATGATTTCCAAGGTACTATTGGATAATGTAATATGGAGGGTTATGATTTGTCTGGATTTCTTTCTCTTTGCATGTATTTTGTGTGTAAACGTTGTTTGTAGTTTCCATACTGGGTTTTGTATCTCTGCCTTGTAAACTGGGTTAACTGGGGTCTCTTGTTGCAGCTAGGGGTGTTTTCTCAGCTCTCAGCTACTCCCTCCCCTGAGCACATCTCACCTTAGGGTGGGCAGCTCATCTAAATAACTAGTGTTATCCTGCGAGGTAGTGTTTACCTCTGATTAGAATGACTTAAGTCAGCAGCTGCAAAGATAATTGCTGTTCTCATCTCTTTCCCCTAACCCCCACTTCAGGAAAGGTTAGGAATCAGCACTGTAAAAGTGTTCCATCCTTCTGTCCTTCAATGTTGTTTTTCATGTTTGTATTACCTCATTGTGGGAATGAGCTAACAGCTCATTTTAACTATGCAAATACAGTTACTTCCTAATTCATATTTTCAGTTCATTTAATTTTATTTATCTAATTTTATGCATGCAGATTGTATATTATGACTTGTGTATTACCACAACCTTCTGCTGAATACCTGTTGGGTAACACTTACTGTTACTGTGGAGATAAGAGTGACTTTGGAGGCAGGAATCCTAGGATTCTTTTTTATTGCTGTATTTAAGATTTAAAAAGACTTTGCAGATAATTCTTCCTGAGTCTTTGCAATTAAAGAGAGTGGTGAGGTTGTAAAGAAAAGAGTAAACTACTTTATTATTTTGAACCTAAAAATAAGATTATCATAATGCTTTGTATCATAAGGTACGGATATTTACCTAATTTTCCAAAATACATTGGATTGATAATTTTTAGTAATCAGTTTTTTTCATTTTTCTTTAAATGACTGAGTTTAAAGAAACTAACAAAATACCTGTCTGAAATATTAAGAGTAATACATTTTTCTTTTTAATATATATATTTTTAGGTGTTTTGTGCATCTATTCTTCAGTGATTACATACAAAACTAACATAATCATGGCGACTTTCCAGCCTTTCAGAAATAGTCATGTGAAGCCGAGAGCGTCTGTCAGAAAAGTAAGTTCATTGTATTAGGTTCCTTTTTATGAAAGTTTTGGTATAATTGTTGATCATTTTGTTAAAATTCTTATTGCTATGACATTTAGTTTTAAATGAGTATTCTATATGCCTTGAGCTTTACTCTAAAGGCTTGTTCATTTGGTAAACACAATTATTATAAATTACATTTATTCATTTGGTGAACACAATTTTAGTGCTATTTAAGCCTTATGCTAGATGTTGCATAATTGCTAAGAAAATGAAATACAGTTATTAATCCTTTCTTCTTTCTAATCTGGGAAAGAACCCCTTATTTTCCCTCTTAAAACAACTTGGAGCTTAGCATGGTGGTACATGCTCGTAACCCTAGCATCTGGGTGACTGAGGCAGGAGAATCCCAAGTTGAAATGCAATCTGAGCAAGTTCGTGACTTGACAAGACCCTGTCTCAAAATAAAACATAGAAAGAGCTGGGTTGTGGCTTAGTGTCCCAGCACCCCAGTCAGAACACAGCAAAACCCTGAGCATTCGTGGTTAGTCTTCTGTTCCTTGACATTTTGTTTTTGGTAACAATTTGAGGCATTTCTTGAAGCAGAAAAGAGCAGAGACTGGAGGACAGACCAGTCTTATTGTCCTTTTTCTGACCTTCATCTGGGCTGCACGTTGGCTTGACCAGACCTATCCCCTTTGGTACCGAATGACCAAGTTTGACCTACATTCCCGTCCTCAGACCTGAAATGGGCTGTTTTTCAAAGCAGCCTGGATAGTATTTAGAAACTAAGATCTGAGAACGAGGAATGCCCCGTGCTGTACAGGGTCATGAGTTTATGTTGATAAGTCAGGTTTAGATTTCACATTTTATGTATTTTCTGTTTTAATTGTGTATGTATAAATTAGCATCAAAATGTCTGTTCATTAATGAAAACATTTTAGTATTGACATTTTACCCCAATAGTTGGTATAAAATCCCAGTTTTACAATGAATATCTCATATTCTTTACTTAATTCACTCTTTGTTAATGTTTTGCCATACCTTTTTTTGTACCCCTCTCTGTAAATACATACAAACACACTTTCCTTTTGCAGTTGTGAGAACAGTCCTGCAGACATTATTTAATATGTCAGCACTGTTATCTTTAAGAAAATAATTAATTCAGTAACATCTAACGTGCCACCCATACATAGACTTTCCTGATTGTCTCAAATGTCCTTATAACTTTTGCTTTGCCTTTTGTCTGGGGTCCAGTGAAGGTTCATACTGCATGTAGTATTTTGTCTCTTTGATCTCCTTCATTCTAGACCTTAATGGTTTAGATTCTTTTCTCATGACAGTGGATCTTTGAAAGAGTCTAGGTTAGTTGTCCTGTAAAGCATCCTCATCTTCTGTGTTCATCTGGTTTTCCTGCAGTTAGGTTCAGCAGTAACACGTCTAAGATGATCCTGCATTTATTTCATGCTTACCAGGTGGCTAAGCTTATAAATATCCAGTATCTCCAATATAGATATAAATAGTTCCTTTGTAATTATAAGGTTAGTAAACCTATTAAGTGATAGTTTGTGATAGTATGAATATCCTCTCCCCCAAAAGCTATTAACCTACTAGATTTAGGATACCTGATGATTCTTTCCTAAATCAGTAATTACATTTGGTATTACAAAAGAGATTTTCTAATTTAGTCATTTTGTTCATACTTGTCGGCTAGTGTTTATGGGTAGAGTGCCCATGATTAAACCGAGCAGTTATAATCCATTTCGTTTTTCTCTTTTTAATGGCTGAGTGTCTCAAAATTGGCCAGGAGGAATTCCTTCAAGCTGGCTCTTTAGAAATGGTCCAATTAGTCAGAACATTTCTTTACATTCTGGTAAAGATGTATATTCTAGATTTACTCTTTGCTTTGTCTGCCCAAGTCTGGAACTGTCATTTTGATGCTTTAGTTGGTTTTATTGCTGATTTTTATTTAGAAACCAAACTCTGGGTATAGAGTGCGCTCCTTGCTAATGAGGGTTGTTGTTTCCAAGACTTTTTAATGGAAAAATGTGGTATATATTTAGCGGATTTCACTATGGGCTCATATTGATAGGTTGAACTCAAACCATTTTACATTTTTCCTTGAAGTCTTTGATTTTTTATTTATCTGTCTCTTTTTTTGGTACTAGGAATCGAACCCACAACCTCGTGCTTGCCAGGCAGGCTCAGTGCCACTGAGCTATATCCCCAGCTCTGTATCTTTTCTTTTAAATCAAAGATTTGCATTAATTTAATTTAGTAAAATTAGAAACTCTTTATTGACTTCATATAGTATTTGAAGTTCTGAAATCTGGGAAAATAAAATATACTTTGACCTACATAATTTGGTTTAATGGATAGGAAAGACAAACATATATGAGAATAGTAATTATAAAATGTTATGACTTAGATTAAATGATCTTAATATTCAAGGGATGGGAATAATCTTCAGATCTTAAGGTGAGCTTTCTATAAAGGAGGACTTTGTAAGGACATTATTGATAGAAGTGTACATTTTCAAATCAAAGCAGGGAGTAAGGTAAAAGAACATTAGTGTTCAACTGCAATACTCATTTTCTTTATGTAAATTATTGTCTCTTCTAGTCCTTTATCCTGTGACAACCCCCTTCTCCAAATCTGTAAAAACCCTTATTTTCAAATGTAGTTATCTGTAGCCATCTCCCGCCAAAAATCCCTAGAGTCTCTTTTTTCTGCTTCTAACTGTATTACGTGAATAATTATTATTGTTATCTCCCACATTGTTTCACTCATTATGTAAATTGTTCCCTCTGTTCTGTCAGGGGGTGGAATTTAGATCTGTAATCTGTTAGTTTTAGTTTAAAGTAAGAGTAAGCAAACCTATGGCTTATTCAGAGTCCTCTGTGATCTTTCAGTTAGCTAAGTGCCTAGCCTCTGGTATAGTTCTGTGTTGTGGGCACAGGGAACTCCTGTTTAACCTTTTCATCTGAATGGAACTTTTTTTCTTGGCTAAATTGAATTCTTCAATCAATGTCAAAAGGCAGTAAATGAATATTAATTGGAGAATGGATGGCTTTTCTTCCAGAACTAAAACATCTGCAGGATCTCTTACCTTGTCTTAGAATTAGAATAAATTAAGAATGTCTTTTCCCCCTGCAGAGCTTCAGTGAAGATGTGTTCCAGTCTGTAAAGTCTTTATTACAAAGTGAGAAGGACTTATGCAGTGTATCAGGAGAGGACTGTTTAAAGCAGGATGAACACGCAAAGATAACTGAGGTTAGACATATTACTTTCTAAATCCTTTTGTAATAAAGTGTAGTGTGTTTTAATGTGTTTGTGTAGGATACATGTTTAAATACTGGCTAACATAATTGTCCTAATGTGCATAAATGTTATTGACTGCTTATTGAACATATAGCACTTTTCAGTGTTTTATTATGAAATATTAAAAAAAAGTTTTTCCGTATTCATTTTTTGAGTTATTTTCATGGCTGTTTCAGTACTTTCATTTATAGTGAAAGCTAGTGATAAATTTATCTTTGAAATTAAGGTATTCCTCTGTTACTTGAGAAGATACACAGTCTGCTCAGCTATTTCTTTGCTTTATTGTTTTCAGTCTGTTTTAAATTTGTTACTATGAAAAAGTGTAGCATTTAAAAAATATGGCAATAGTTATATATAAAGAAATGTAATCATATAGCAGTATATCAATAGTCTGTCTTCACATTCATATACGCATATATGACATGTGGTATTGGGTCTTTGCAGTTTAAAACTAAAGCATATGTTCAGGTAAAATTTTTTTTGAAATGAGGGAGTCTGATAAAAGCCTTGATTATTCTTATTGAGAGGAATTTTTTTGTTTTCACATTCCTTGAGAAATTTTCCGCTCAATTGTATTTTGTAGGAAGATGGAAGTACTTCTGGGGCCTGTACTGTTTTGCCACCTGCACCTCTTCTGTTTGTCTTTCTGTCTCGTTTCTGTGGCTCCTGATTTATCTTTTTTGATGTTCCTGTGTATTTAGTAAAGTTGAGTCACTCTTAATCTAATTATATGTTGGCAAGTGTGACAAGTCTCCTTCATTCTGTTCTTCACAGTTTTGCAGCCCACGTCTCGCCAGCTGCTCATGTGTCTATACAGCTCACATTTACGGATAAGACTTTCCTAATCAGTTGGCAATAGAATGCTTCTCTGGTGTCTTCAGCACCCCATGTCAGCTTATTTTCTCTTTCATGTTAAGGAAACTTGAAAGATTTCTACAGGAATTTCTGTGCCACTTCAGGGTGTGCCTATCTCAAAGTCTCTGTTGGAAGAAAGGAAAGAAATTTGTCATTTAACATAATACACATTCCTTATTGAGTGCTTATATGTATGTGTTAGAGTGAGTTGTGTTGCCCAAAGTTTTGTAGATGAGGAATAGTCTCCTAGATGTTAACTTTTTACCTAGATGCCTGGAAGTCAACACTTCTCTGAGTTAATAACCATTATTAACCAGAATAAACATCTGGCTTATCAGTCAGACAGAGATTAAAAGTATATTCAATGTTGATTATATTTTAACTCTGCTATTACTTCACTCATTCTTAATGACTGATTATATATTGCTATTGTTTAATTATTATGTTTTCAGCTCTAAACTTAATAGTTTACTAGTCTGTTTTCAAGTGGAAAAATTTTATGTCATAAAGACAAACTAAATTATTAAAATAACCATTTTTACTTTGCAAAAGTAGTATAAATTCTTTGTACAAAAATGAGAACTACACAAAAGTATAAAAATGTGATGTAATTGTGAATGTGTTATAATTGTGAATTAGGAATTAAAAGCACAAATAGAAAAATAAGATCACATAAACAATGGTACCTTGGTGCTTGACATTAAATGGTTCCAAGAGATATGGCAGGACCAAAAATGATGGGTATCATACAAGTTGTGCTGGGATGAGTAGCAAGTCACAAGATAGTCAGCACCAAGTTCTAACTTGTGTATTTAATACCAAGCAAGTGAGTATTAGGACAAAATAGTTTAACAAATTGAGTACCAAAGCAATTGCATTTTGAGGTGTGACTGTGATTACATCATGTAGAGTTAATCACTTTTAATAGATTTGAGTAGTCTTCCAGTATTATTTTTATATATATTTTTTAATACAAGGTTGAAATTGCATAGTCCGTGTTTTTCATTATTTGTTCTTTTTACTTAATAATGTAACATTCCTCTTGCTGTTATATATTCCTTAGAAATTTAATTTCTGTAAACTTCAGTGAATAAACTATGAGAGTGTTAAAGGAAAAAAAAAATTGTAGTATCATAGATAAAAAGTGGCCGTGGTGGTCTAACCAGAGAGAAGGTAGCATTTGATTTGAGTTAAAAAGTGAATAAAGGCGGGTAAACATCCGTGGAAGAGAGATCGAGATTGAGGGGCTTGACTTTGAGATCCTTAGGCAGAAATGTGCAGGGCGTGTTCTCCAGCTGGAAAGGGCCCATGTGTGTCAGTGAAAGTGAGGGAAGGTTGAAGGATTAGCTAATCGCCAGTTAGCAGTTTTCTCTGGGAAGCACAGAGATGTTTCACAGGGCAGTAGCATGACAGTGGGATTGCCTGGAAGAAGACTATAATAGTGCAGATGAGAAAGGGAGACATGAGAAATAGAGAAGTGGATGTATTTGAAATACATTTTAGAGTTAGAATCACAAATGAGGCGGATGTGAATGAAGTTCAGAACTGCATTATAAGCCCCTGTGCACACGGGCCACCACTGGGACTCTCCTGTGGGTAACTAGTGCGAGCCAGGAGAACCAGCCAGCCATGCCTTGCATAAGCCTAGAATGTCTGGAGAGGCATGCCCTGCAACCCACCATCTCCTGGGGAACCTGAGTTAGGAGAAACCCAAGTGCCTGAGCCATCCCCCTGCACTGTGGATGGGTAGCCAGCACAGGAAGCACCTGGGATCCCACAACCCAGGAACCCAGGAAAATACCAAGATGAAGGAGAAAAGGCAATCTCTGGCCTCCAGCCCAAACAGAACAAGTCAGAAGACATGGATATGGCAGAAAGCAGAAGTCACACATCTGAAATTTCTGGGCTGATGGCAACTAAAGTAAAGAAACAACTTCAGGAGGCTGTAAAAGAAATCAGATCAGAAATAAATACCTCAGGTAAAATGGTAAACATAATAAACGGGTTGCTGAGTGTATCTAAAGAAAACATAGATTAAAAAAAGAAAGGAACATAGAGAATGAGGGAAACCTTGAATAAGCAGTACAGAGAAGAATGGGAATGCATGAAACAGACTCAAAGGGATATCCAGGGAATTAAAAGCTCCATTGAAAGCCAGAAAAACTGCTTGAAAGAAACCGAAGATAGACTTTCAGATCTTGAAGACAGGATGGAGCTTGCGGTCACAAAAGGAAAGATCTCTTAAAAATAACAAGGAACCAGTAAATAGCAATTCAGTGGCTGCAAGTTGATGCAAAGAAAAGTAACTTAAGAATGATACGTATCAGTGAAAAAGCAGTCAACACGAATAACGTAAAGAGACTATTTACAGAAGTAATAGCAGAGAACTTTCCAGCTCTCAAAGACAAGATGGCAGCTAGGAAAGATCTCTTAAAAATAACAGGGAACCAGGAAATAACAATTCAATGGCTGTAAGATGATGCAAAGAAAAAAATTAAGAATAATAGGTATTGGGTCAGGGATTTAGCTCAGTGGCGTAAGCTCCTGCCTGGCAAGCACGAGGTCATGAGTTTGATCTCCAGTACCAAAAAAACCACAAAGAATGATAGGTGTCTGCAAAAAAATCAGAGTCAACACAAATGACATAAAGAAATTATTTGCAGAAGTAATAGAGAACTTCCCAAGCATGGGAAAAGGACCTGACATACAGATAAGTGAGACATTTTAGAACTCCAACTAGACATAACCAAAATAAATCTACACCCAGATATATAATAATCAAGATGCAAGGAATTCAGCACAAGAACAAATATTAAAGGCGTTAGAGAAAAGATACAGATCACCTATAATTGAAAGCCATCAGAATCACGAAAGACTTCTGAACACAAACCATCAAGTGAAGAAGAGCTTGGCGTAAAGTATTGCAAGTCCTGAGAGAAAACAGCCTCCAACCCAGATTGATGTACCCTGCAAACTATCTCTCAGAATTAATGGAGAAATAATACACTTCCATGGTAAAGAACAACTGAAGGATCTCTACAAAGAGTACTGGAGAGTATTCTAGAGACATAAAAATGAGCCAGGTCCCAGGAACAGCAGCAGAGGGGGATTGCTGAGCGGGGCAGGCATCGATTGGAGGGGGAAAGCAGAGAGCCAGCAGCAGGCAAAAGCATGGCAGGGATAAACCAGTGCATGTTGGCTGTAGCCATTAGTGTGGATGGCCTCAGTTCAGCAATAAAAAGAAACAGAATGGATCAAGAAACAAGATCTATCAATATGCAGTATACAAGAAACACAGTAATTCAGAAGGAAATCCATAGATTGAAAGTCAGAAGAGAGAAAACAATGCTTTGTGTGCCAGGGAACCAGAAAACAAGCAGGGATAGCTTGCCCACTGACCACAAAACAGGTAAGAAAGATGGCATGTTTATGCAATGGAAAACTATTCAGCCATAAAGAAGGATAATCATGAGGCTCTTGTAGATAAATGGACGCAACTTGTGATCATGCTCTTGGGTGAAATGGTTCAGACTCACACAGGCGAACAGCATGCTGTCTCCCTAATATAAGAAAAAAAACTAGAGGAGTTAGTAGGATGCCAAATGTACAATAGATACTGTGAGGGTAAAAGGGGAGGAAATGTGTGAAAAGGGAAGCTGGTAGCCCTTGTTAATTCCTTACTATTTTGTTTTAAAGTCCTGCATTGTTTTCATTGCTATGTTTTTGGTTGGTTTTGTTTTATTTTGTTTGGTTTGACTTTATTATATCTGATGACATGGACTGCTGTTTCAATGATAACAAGATATATTATGGTAGCCATCATCGATTCCCTCTTATCTTGTTTTGAAATTCTGTATCATCTTCACTTTTTTGTTTTGGTTGCTTTTCTTCTGTTTTATTTGGTTTGAATTTAATATGTCTGATGGTATGGGCAGCTGTTTAGAAGATGAGAAAAGGCATTATGACAGCCATTGTTGGTTTCCTGTTATCTTGTTTTGAAGCCCTGTATTGCTTTCACTATCTTGTTTTGATTGGCTTTATTCTGTTTTATTTTGTTTGGTTTTATTCTCTTAAAAATACAAAAAATTTTTAAAACTGCATTATAAGAGCTAGATGTTGGTGGAAAACATTTCATCTTAGAGAATATTGTCTTGTCCAAGGCAGTCAGTGTTTTAATGCCATACTGTGCTTTTTTTTTTTCTATTTCTCAGCTCTGCCAACCATCCAAGCAAGACTTAAAAACTCAAGTTAATGAAGTTTTATTCCTTTATTATTCAGGTCACTTTTCTGGGCTTTAATGAAGAAACAGATGCTGCTCATATACAGGTAGACTCAATTTATCAAATTGGAAAGCGCTGCAAGAGATTATCTGGAACAATATTTTTTATAAATTAATTTGTTAGTACGGGTTTTTTATTTATTTTTTTTTTTGAGACAAGGTCAAGACCTTGCATGTCAGACTGGTCTTGAGCTCACTTTGTAACCCAGGCTGGTCTCAAACTTGTAACAATCCTCCTACCTTAGCCTCCCCAATGCTGGGATTATAGGCATGCGCCACCATGCCTGGCATATGATACATGTTTGATGTACATAGTGGTCGCATTCATTGTAAGGAATTTGCACCTGTACGTGGTGTGTGTTGATTCTTCTTTTTTTCCCTCCTCTCCCTTCAACACAGATTTTGATACCATGAAAAATAACCTTAACCCACATTTCCCCTAAATTTTTCTGTTATGTTTTCTTTTTAAAGTTCAAAGGTGACATTTTGAAGTCAGCTTATGAGTGTGCTTGGAACATTTTTGCTTTTAATATTTTTACTGAAAATTGTTTGAGAAAGAAGTATTGAAGTGGACCAACTTCATTTGTCTGAGAAGGTTGCAGGCTTTTTCTGCATTCTGTGCATCATACGGAATGTGGTGCTTGTTTCTTTATTTTGATGGTTTTTGTAATTTGACTTCAACAATAAAAGATTTTAGTTGGGATAAAGTTAAATATTAAAGACAAAACTTGTAGAAAGTCATCGTTAACCAATGTAAAAACTTTACCCTGTTTGGTTTAGGCATTTATAGAGGGACTGTTTGAGATTAGAATAAAAAAGGAAGGCCTCGCAGCTACGTCAAGTGTGGTTGAGAGTCCAGCAGGTGTACTAACTGTATCCTCTTGTTACTGCTTGAAAATTTGCTGCATTTCCTTTTTTTTTTGTTGATACTAAAGCATTTCCTAATAGAGGGAGACAAAGCATTATTCTTTCTGAATACTGCATGTCATGAGTATGTGACTTGAAAACACTAGTATGTGACTTGAATGTCATAGCTTGAAGAGCTCAGACGGAGGAATCAAGAGGACATACTCCTGGGTGTGTGGCTAGAAAGACAAGTGTTCCACAGGATTTCTCCAGTGCTCTTTTTTTTTTTTAAACCCTGCTCCTAAAAACATGTTTATTTTACATGGCAAGATGCTCTTGAAGGGTCAAGGATGTCAACAATTCTTTACCTAGATAAAATATTGATGTAAAAGGAGCAAACATGAAAAAACAAAAGCTAGCTTCCTTCTCTTAAACTTTCATAATATTTTAAGTCAAAAGAGTAACAGTAATTTCAAAAGGAAAAACAGCAAAATGGGCCTGTATTTTGCAAAGTTAGAATTTAAACTCTGAGGAAGTGCATTCAATACCCAAGAAGGCTATGTATAAAATTCCAGAATTAAACTTGAAGACTATAGGTTGATGTTTGCTGAAAACAGTTGAATGCATAATTGTCATAGATATGTGAGGTAGCATGTTAAATTGTATTGTATAGCTTGATAGCAATATATTTTTAAAGCTACAAGAATAGTATTAAATAATTTTAATATTTGAATTAGATTAGCTATGGATAATAGACTGCATGTGTGTACTATTATAAGTCAGTTTATTGACCTTAATGATTTTCAGATGAAGACCATTTTGTGTTATTCATTGTTATTATTTTAAATTAGGATTTAGCAGCAGTGTCTTTGGAGCTTCCAGATCTTCTGAATTCACTCCACTTCTGCAGTCTAAATGAAAATGAAATTATTTGTATGAAGGATATAAATAGATCATCAGATATCAACAAGGGTCCTTTAAATCAGGTAACACTTTTTCAGGACAAATTTTATAACATTTACTTAAGAGTATGAAATTTTTAAAAGTTGGGATTTTTTTTTCTTTCAATGCTGTACACCTCTTAATCTAACTTACACAATGTTGACATACCTGATGCAGAGAATTTTGGTCATAGCTTATATATTAATTTTTTTCTCTGAAGTTTTATGTGATATGTAGGTACATACTAATTGTTAATGAAAATGAATTATTTCTGGATTTCTTTAATTACTACCTTTATATAAACCAGAGATGCTTTTCTGCTTGATGGTCAAGTCCAGATTTATCTAAATATTGTGATACATGTTGTGGAGCATGCGCTTCAGCTCATTTCTGGCTGGAACTTTTTAGGCATAGTGATTATATGATGATGTATTTTAATTTATAAATAAAATATTATCTCAGCTAGGTAGTTAATTTCATAGTAATCAGCTTCTAGCTTATGACTATGAGTGATTTGTTGATAACATATCAAAGGAAAAAAATCCTTGCTTTTTTTAAATCATGGTGCTGGAAGTTGAAGCCAGGGCATTGTACATGATGGCAAGTACTATGTTTTAGGAAGTAAGACAGATGAAACATGTATTAAAATTTGTATTACTTATGCAGTATAAAATACTTACGTGTTCTTACAAGGTCTGTTGATAAAAAATAGAACTACTTGGCTCATGTTTTTCTTCCATACTTATTTTGCTTTATTCACTAGGATGTAGGAGTGGCTTGCTATTTATATTTGGTTTTTACTTTTTAAATGTATCTTTTGTCAGTATTTGTGTTTTAAAGTTACTTGGGGAAAAAACTGATGACTTGTATTCTTATAACAGTGAACAGTATTGGAAATTTTACTACAAGGTATTTAGATCAAAAGGAAGGCAAGTGGAATCAGCCTAGAAGCCACAAAAAATGAGATAAAAAGTGTCTTAGTTACTTTTTACTCGTTTCTGAGACAAAATACCTGGCATCCAAAGTTAGGGAAGGAAGGTTTATTTCTTACAGTTCTTAGAGGTTTCAGTCCACACTCAGTTGGCTCCGAGGCAGCCATTCAAGGCTGGTGCAAACAGCAGGGTGGAAGCCAGCAAGAGAGGAGGCACACCTTCTTCCCACCATCCCATCATATCCTGGCTCCACCCCTGGGCGGTGTAGCACTGACACCACCAATTGGAGCACTAAACAATGAGCCAATCACAAATGCATAATTGCATGAGGCTGGGGGGCCGCGGACATAAACCTTGACAAAAAGTAAAGCACAGCCTACTTTCTGTTCTCAAGCCTTTTACAAGGCAGGTGGTGAGGTAGGTGAATGGTGAAAAATGATACAAATCACAACACTATATAGTTATACAAGAAAACATAATTGCTCAAGGAAATGAATAAATAGTAGATTCTATAACAATTAAGGAGATTGATTAGGTAGAATTTGAGGAGATGGGTAAGAGGAAAATGGGAGAAAAAGAGACTAGGAATTGAGAAATGTAAAGGAAAAATAAAGCATTGCAAAATCATGGAGCCTTTAAAGATGTATGCTTTTTTCCCCTCTGAGGTTTTATTTCAAGGCCTCGCTCAGATAATAAGTTTCATACTTAAAATTAAAATTGTTTTTTCTCATTTTTCTTCTTTCCCAAGAGTCATCATTCTGGAATGCTTTGTGTCATGAGAGTGTCACCTACATTACCAAGACTCAGAATTGATTTTATCTTTAGTCTCCTAAGTAAATATGCAACTGGTATAAGATACACCCTGGACACATACTTGCATCAGAACCACCAACTTGAGACCACTCATGAAGATGATGATGATGATGATACTAACCAGTCTGTGTCTTCCATAGAGGATGACTTTGTCACTGCTTTTGAGCAGTTGGAGGAAGAAGAGGCTTCAAAGCCATATAATGATGGTTTGTTTTTGTTTTTGTTTTTTTACCAGACTCTTTCCCTAGAGAGTTAATATTTCTGAAAAGTTGAAAGTTCACTTTTGAAAGTTATAAGGCAGCTTGATCCTTTGAAATTTATGTTGAAATTTTACCCACTTTAAACATTTTAACCTTTTTTATGGTAGCAGAGAGGAGTTTTCCTGAGATTTTTAGCTTCATCATTACCTGGTTTTTAGTTTTACTACTTGTTATTTAGGTCGTACTAGTCAAGCTTTGTTTACCTTATCACCTTGTGTTCAGAACCTGTCTAGTACAAATTTCACAAGAATTTGCTGCCAGAGTCACCATAGTAGTGTTTCTGACATGCATGACAACAAGCTAAGCATTCCAACACTAGATGTCTCTAGACATTGGGTAAAATGGTGGTATTTTAGTAAAAGATGTATTTGTCTTTAAATGTTACTTGGGGCATATCTTTCTTTTAAACAACTTAATACAGAAGATGTATTACAGATAAAGGTTTGATAACTTGATTTAAATTTTTAAAAATTCTGGAATAATGTAACCATTTTCTTTTTCTACTATAGGAATAAACATTACTACACTGCGGAGCCAATGCGATATGGCTTCTCAGACTGTTTGTGGTCATCGTTTGGAAACCCATGATTTAAAGATTTTAGTCAGCTCTGGACAACAGAAGACATTGGCTAAAGCCTCATCGCCCTTAGTAAGTGTTCTGGAACGTAAAGAACCACATTCTGTGAAAACTTCAGTCACAACTTCAATTTCAGAGCCTTGGATCCAGAGGAGTTTCTATAGGTCATCGAATACTTCAGATAAAGGCAATGAAGCACAGAAAACTTTTTGTTCTTCTCCTGCCTACTCTTCAGAATCAGAATGCTCAAGTCCAAGTCCTGTTATTTTCTTGGATGAAGAAGGATATCAGAAATGTTTAAAAGCAAAACTTGAGCTGCCTAAAATTCCTGTGATGAAAGATGATGTAGAAGATTCAGACTCAGAAGTGAGTGAGTTTTTTGATAGTTTTGATCAGTTTGATGAACTAGAACAAACTTCAGAGACTTCTTGCCTGTTTATAAATGATCCTGTTGAAGGAAAGTCATTACGAAAGAAAGGGCACAAACATGAAAAATCTTGTATGAATCCTCAAAAATTCAAGTCTGATTGCCCAGCTCTTCCAGCTGATGTTAAAAAGCCAACTCCTCGTAAGCCAGAATCTCCATACAGCAACCTGTGTGATGCTCCAGATTCTCCACGTCCGGTGAAAGTTTCAGGGGATGACAGTGGTTTGTTTAGCCCTATTCGATCCTCTGCTTTTAGTCCTCTTGGAAGCTGTACTGCTACTGAATGCTTTTGCCAAACAGATATTGGTGGGACTCAGACTCATGATTCTGTTTATTACACCTACGAAGATTATGCAAATAGCATTTCATGTGACGTGCTACAGTCAGTTCTTCATAACCCACATACTAATGAAATGTCAAATGTTAATAGTATTAAAAGAGAAAATAAAGCTATAGCTTTTAACCATGGAAACCTTGATCAAAAAAGTAAATCTAAAAGTAAATCTTCAATGATTAAAGATAGCATTCAGAAATTTGCTGCAGATCTTGTGGAAAAAAGTTTTGCCAGTGCATTTAAAGACTTACAGAAAGGAGTTTCTTCATGCACCAATGCATTGTGCCACTTAGCCATCAAATTGACATCGTCTGTTTTTCAGATGGCCTTTAATGAACTGAGGAGACAGCATGCATTTTCACTAAAACAACGTGCCATTAGTGGCTTTGCTAATTTTTTGGTGAGTGAAGCCTTATCACATGCCTTAAAAGATCTACAGTATGTAAAGAAGCAGATATTTACAAACACAGTTGCTAGATTTGCTGCAGATCTTGCAGAAGAGCTTGTTTTTGAAGGCATCATGGAAGTGTGTCAGTTTTCATATCCTTCAACACCTGCATCTCCACGGTGTCAGTCCTTTGATTTTGAAGATAAAGTAGTGAAATCATATGCAAAAGATTTGTCTGAGTCTGTAATACAGGAAGCATTCATTGAGCTATCCCAAGTTGATGTGCCCTTCACGACAAAGGCAGCAGTTAGTGTTTCTACAGATAATATCAAGTATGTGAATGCAGAAAGTGTAGCACCATCTACACAGACCCTCACATTTTCTCCTTCTCTTAACAATCAAGCCATTATGGTGACAAAACCAGTGCCGGAATATAAAAAAGAATACACCGTGCAACAGGCCTTGTTTTGTACTTCAGGAATTGTCACTTCTATTCCAGTGCCCTTGGCAGGAAGTGCCCTTCACCCTTATCACATTTCCTCTACAGTATGTCAGACAGATTCTCGTCTGTCATCTGATTCAAATGGTGATTCTACCCAAACACATGTTACCATGATAAACAAAGAAGAGGAAATAGCTTGTCTCAGAAAGGTTCGTTTACCTCCAGAACCCCATGTAGAAAAGCAGAATGATTGCAAACCAACTCATAGTGATACTGAAATTCAAAGTTCTTCAAAATTAACAAGTGAATTTAACAACTTTTCTGCAGCAATGGTACATACAATAGTAAATGAAACTTTAGAGTCAGTGACACCATTCAGAGTTACAAAAGCAGCTGATGAACATGCTAATTGTTTGACTAAAACAATGAAAGGACATACCTCTCTTTGTCATCAGGAAGTACCACAAGAGGGGGAAGCTTGCAGTAAGGACATGTTTGCTGAACTGTTATCTAAATCTGTTATTAAAGATTCTACAGATACAAGCAAATTAATGAACTTAACCACAGATACAAATATAGTACCTAAGGAAGGCTTGCCTTTTGCTGGAAAGGAATCACAGTTGACATCAGAAAAGTTCCCTAAATTTCTTGATGCTCAAGATCACTTACCTTGCTGTTCACTTTCCATGAGAAGGGATTGTGTTCCAGAATGTAAAGATGCGACGGCTCATGGAATTTCTTTAGAGACACTACCACCTTGTCCAATGATGGCAAGTCAGAAACCTGATCTGAAAGAACTTTCTAAGGATAAACCAGTGAAAAAGCATAATTTGAATGATACAGCACTTGAGCCCTTGCCTTTTGGGCAGGAGAGCCCTTTCCGTCACTCACATACTTTCTCATCAACAGTGCTTACCTGTGTAGATGGATTGCACGTGGAAGATAAGCAGAAAATCAGAGACGGAAATGTAATACCTGGTACTCCTCCATCAACTCCTCTAGTTCCATCTCAGGCTAGTTCTGAATGGGATATCAAGAAGCTAACCAAAAAGCTCAAAGGGGAGTTAGCCAAAGAATTTGCACCTGCTACACCACCTTCTACGCCTCATAACTCATCTGTTGGTAATCTGTCTGAAAATGAACAGAACACTATAGAAAAAGAAGAGTTCATGTTGAAACTCATGCGATCTCTTTCAGAAGAGGTTGAAAGTAGTGAAGGTGAAGAGCATCCGGAAATGAGTATGAAGCCAGAGCACTCAGGGAAGAAAGTGCAGTTTGCAGAAGCGTTAGCTACACATATAATTTCTTTTGCAACTGAAACTGCAGCCTCCCATTTAGATCACAAAATAATACAAGAACCCGAGGTTCAAAAATCTTGCTTTAATGTGCAAAGTAAAGGAAGAACATTGCCCACTATTTTAAGTCAGTCTGATGAAAATTTTCAGACAGGTAGTTTTGCAAGTGATATGGCAGCAGAAATCATTGCAGAAGCTGAGAAAATAGCAAAAGTTAGAAGTTCTGTACTTCACAAGCAAAGGAAGAATCTCTGTTTTATTGATGGGGACCAAGATTATAAATCAGAAGAGAAGTTGAATATGGAGGTGGTAGCATATCCTAGAGAAGTAGATCCATTTACTCTTTCACTACCAACAAGTTCTTGTATGTCAGGTTTGACATACAAGTATCCCAGTTGTGAAAGTGTGACAGATGAATATGCAGGTCATGTTATCCAAATATTAAAACAGGAGGGCGGTAATGGTGAATTAATAATGGATCAGTATGCCAGTAGGCTTGCTTATCGGTCCATTAAGTCAGGTTTACAAGAAGCAGCTAAGACAGCCAAAATGAAGTGCAACCCAAAAATGTTCCCTGTGCAAAGTGCACAAGTGCAAATAAACAGCGAACTGTTAATGTTCTCAAACAGAGAACACCACCAAGAAGAAGGTAAAAAAAGTAAAAGAAAAAGAAATGGAAGTCACCTTTGTCAAAATCAAACTTGCGAAAGGACAAGAGAGACATGGAGGAATGAGGACTCTCACCTATACAGTTTTTCAGCCTCCCTTGCTCACTGCATAACAAGAGACGTTAAAAAAGAGCTGACGGCACCTAAAGTTGATTCACAAAAATCTTTAACAGATACCTGCCTTTTTGAAAAATCTGGATATGCTGAAGATACTGAGTGTCTCGCAGAACCAGAATTTTCTAAGCCTCTTCAACCTTCCTCACGAAATCAAGGATTTCGCCACAGTACAGACAGTTTAAATGGACATGGTTGTGGAGAGAATGTTGTTCAAGTTATAGAACAGTATGCTAAAAAAGTAGTGGATGACACTTTAGAATTAGGTCTGGGATCCAAAGTTTTCCGAGCATCTGAGACCACAAAATCAGTAGATAGGATCACCTATGCAGAAAAGTTATCACCTCTTATAAATCAGAATTGCAGATATTGTGACCTTAAGGAGTTCCATGATTGTACTGGAAATTCATCTCAGCACTCTTTCAGACGGGATTCACATGTTAGTAGTAAGATCGTTACAAATTCAAACTTTAGCAACATCTATCAGAGATCTAGAATTTTTCACCTCGATGTTCCTCAGATTCATGTAAATCTTGATAAAAAATCATTACTTGCTGAGAAGATAGTAGCTGAAGCAATTGAAAGAGCAGAGAGAGAGCTGAATAATACCAGTTTGGCAGCTGACAGTGGAATTGGACAAGATGGCATTAGTTTTGCTGAAAGCCTTACTACAGAAATAATAACATCAGCCATGACGAATGTTGGACATGCTGTTAGCAGGTAAGTTTCAAAATTTTGGGTGGTCTTAATATAAACTGAAAAGTTAAACTTGCTCATCTGTGTCTTAAATTCTGATTGCAAGTATATGACTTTTACAAAATATTAAATGAACATTTTCCTATTGCATTTGTCTATGGTTTCATACGTGTGATTTTCATGTATTTTCTCTCTCAATATGTTTTTAGGAAAGGTATCATACATTTGTTTCTTTCTTTCTTTTCTGTACTGGGAATTGAACCCAGGACCTTTGCACAAAGTTACATCTCAAACCCTTGTCAATTTTTTTGAGACGTGATCTCCGTAAGTTGTGCTGATTCACTTTTAATTTATGATACTCACCTCAGCCTCCCAAATGCCAGGATTACCAGCATACACCACCGCACCTGACTTAACAACTGGAGAATTTGATATAACAAATGTATACGATTATTAGTTTTCTACTTTGAGATGAAATGTTTTATAGTTTTCTTTTTCCTGTTTACAAATTTAAGTGTTCTCACAGCAGCTTGTTATAATCATGCTGCTCTGAGGAAGAAAACAAGTATCTCCATGTACTTCTGTCAGTGCTGCCACCTTTTTGTTCCATAGTGTCTTGTTCTTCAGTTTTTGCTCAGTGAACCTAACAACTTAGTTAACATTTTCATCTTTAATCTTTTTTCTATCTGAAAAAATATCAGGAGTAACTCATGTTATTAGTCTGTAGTAGTTATCTGTAAGTCCTAAAAGAAAGAGAAAATGTTTTGAGTTGAGGTGGATCTTTAATTGAGTCACATGATACCCCAAATTTTTGAGTACGCAGCTTCAGTCAAAACTCTGACAAAGCCTGCCACTTTTTTTTAAAAAGGCATCTTTAAATAGGGAAATGTCGTTTGTCCAGAATTCTTGAGTCCAGTTATGCTTAGAAGTCTCTTAGGAGAGAGGTGATGTGGGTTTGACTTAATTAGGAGGCTGACAGTCCTCTAGGTCAGGGAACTTATGCTCTAGGGCTCATTTGTGGCCCACTGCTCAATTTTATATGGCCCGCAAACTAGACTACCTTTTTAATAGTTGAGAAAATCAAATAACATTTGTCACATATAAAAATCGTATAAAATTTGATTTCCAACCTTCATGAAATTCATTGGATATGCGGTATTCATTCATTTACATGTTTTGTGTGGCTTTTTTGTGCTATGATAATAAAGATGAATAGCTGAAAACACCTAAGTTTTTACTATCTGGCCTTTTATAGACAAAGTTTATGAATCTCTATCATAGACCTACAGTTTACTTTTTTTTGTTCACAACTACTTACGATACAATATGTGGTAATTATTGAAAATGAATCAATGGTAGTAAGCTAGGCCCACTAAAAAAAAAATACTGAAACAACCTTCGTGTGGTAGCCTCAGGTTCTTTTACTCCCAGCCCTTTCCCCAACATCATGGGAGGAAAACTGTCTGAGATTTGTAAGATGTGGCTCCCAGGGATCAACAAATGTAGCCAATACTTTTTTATTTATTCTTCAGTATATCATTTTTCCTTGTTAGAGTTGCTTGGTAAAAGATAGTTACCATTCGAGTTCTTGTGGCAAGTCAGCTTTTTTCCAGACTGGTAATTCTTGTAATTCTTTTGCTATTTCTTTTATCTTCTTTTTTCCCCTGCAGTGTTAGCGATAGACATCAGGGCCTTGTGTGCTAGGCAAGCACTCTACCACTGAGCTATATTTCTGCCCATATTTTGTTTTGAGAAAGAGTCTCATTAAATTGCCTGTACTGGTCCCAAATTCATGATCCTTTTGCCTCAGCCTCCTAATTCAGCAGAATTACAGACATGTGCCACCACATTTGACTTCTCTTTTTTAATAATTGTGTTTAGTGTTGTAAGTGCTTATATTGGTCAGCTTTCCTATTGCTAGATGCAATACCTGACTTGCACAACTTAAAGGAAGACAGGCTTAATTTGGCTCTCAGTCTCAGAAAGTTTAGTTCATGGTCATCTAGTTCTGAGGTAGAAATATTGTAATATAAAGCCTTGGTGGAACAGACTTGCTCATTCTTGGCAGCCAAGAAGCAGAACAGAGGCACAGTGCCTGAGAGGCATGAGTCAGGGGCCATATATAGTGGGTCCTGGGTTCATGAACTTAATTTGTTCTATGATTTTGGAACAGAGGTCATATTTATGTGTGTGGAAAAAATAGTCACAGGTGTGTTTGTTACCTGATGCAGAGTTTGGTAGTAAAGACAAAATTTTGCCAAATCTTCTGTTTTTGAACCAAATTATTCATAAACAAGAGTTTGTGAATTGAGTACCACCATGTAGAACCATGCCATGCCTTTATGACCCACTCAGACACCCAGAAGTATGCCTTACGGATGTGCTAAGCGTTTCTTAATCCAATGAAGTAGACGTAGAAGGATTGACGATACAAACCCATCCCTTGTCAACTTCACACCCAAGTAACTCTCAAGCCATACTTACTCTTTGAACGAAGACAATAGTAAGTTCCTAATTTTGCTTAACACTGTACGGCTGTCCCGTGTAGAACTAGAAACAGAATAATCTGTTCTTCAAAGTCTCAACAGTTTCAGCATTTTTCAAAATTCCAACCCTCCTCTGAACCTCAAGGCAAACTCTTTTTTTTGTCTTTTTCTTTTTTATCGGTACCAGGGATCAAACTCATGACTGCCTGCTTGCAAGGCAGGCGCTTATGCCGCTGAGCTAAACCCCCAGCCCCCATAATGTCTGTTTTTTTTTTTTTTTGTCTTTTTCTTTTTTGTCGGTGCCGGGGATCGAACTCACGACTGCCTGCTTGCAAGGCAGGCGCTTATGCTGCTGAGCTAAATCCCCAGCCCTCAAGGCAAACTCTTAATTGCAAAACTCTGTAAAAATCAAAGCAAGTTACATAATCTCAGGATATAGTGGCAAGTTTTTAAATATCCCTGTCCCAAAACAGGAATAAGGGGATTAAAAAAAAATCACATTAAAACAAGGCTGAAATCCAGCAAGGCAAACATTAAGCCCCATAGCTCCATGTCTAGCATCGGGGACAGAAGAAGGTGATATGGGTTCTTGGGCTTGAGTGATCTTGAACCTTACAGCTGGTTGCAGCTCATCTGCCCTCTCTCGTGGGATGGCTTCTTTCTTGTTGGAAACTTTCCTTGGCAAACATTCTATGTCTCTTGAGTCTCCAAACTCCGCTGTTCTCCACTATGCCTTTATCTTTACTTCCATGGCTTCATCTATTGACCTGTAGGTCTCCTTGGCTGGGCTTTTAAGATTTCCTTTGAAATATGGATGGAAGCCTCTGATCCGATAGCTCTTGCATTTTGCATACCAGTAACACCAGCATTATATGAACAACACCAAGGTCTGCAGTCAGCAGAAGCAATAGCCAGGACCCCTTACACCATGGGTGCAGCTGCCTTTGAGTGTCTCGGTGGTTGAACATAGGCCAATTTTAAGCAGATGTCCAGGGACTTTGTTCTGATAAAATACTGACTTTTTAATTCCCTTGAGTGGGCAGTAGGTAAGAGCTTGTTGATCACTGAGATGCCCTTAAGCAGCATCTTTCTTATTCCTGGTACAAAGTACTTGGTTTCTTTTAAATGGTGCCGATCTTTTTAGCAGTCACACCTTTGGCCCAAGTTTTACAGACTTGTCTGGGCATAAATTAAATTTTTTCCAATTTTTCTGCTCTGATTTTTGCCCCTGATTCACATTATAACCTGGCTAAAAGTAGCCAGCAGTATTGTGCTACAGCTTGACTGTTGGGCTGTCTTGGACATTTTCTCTACCAGATTAGTCACATCCTTAATTTCTTCTCTTGCAAAGTCTCAGGACATGGGAAAAATGTAGACAAATTTTCTGCATAAGTGTAACATACATGTCCTCTAGTCCAAATTCCAGTGGAAGCCTTGTTCCCAGCTGAAACCTCCTGAGCCTGGCTTTTCCTCTGTGCATTTTTACCAGTATTCTGATCTTCTGAGTTCTGCCCAGAATTACCCATCAGGCTCTGCTTACTGCATTCTAAGGCTTCCCTTGCCCACATCTCCAAACCTTTCCAGACTCCTCCAGGAAACTAGTTCGCTATGTTGAGGCACGGTTATCACAGTGACACCAGTTCTCTGTTACCAGGTTTCTCTAGCTGGAAAACTTTTTCCTGTTACTGGATACAATACCAACATCTTCAATTTGAAGCAAAAAAGGTTGAGTTTGGCTCACCGTCTCAGAAGAGTCAGTCCATAGTTCACTGGCTCCAAGGCAAAAAAGTCATGGCAGGTCATGGCAGAACAAAGCTGCTCAGTTCACGGAGGCCAGGAAGCAGTGCAGGGAAACAGTGTCGGAGAGGAAAGACCCAGGGTCCATATTTAGTACCCAAGGTCATGCCTCCATGTGTTCCAGTACACCCAAAAGTGTGCTTTACTAATCTGCTAAGTGTTTTTTAATCCAGTAAAGTAGACATATCAAGTAAGAGTTGAGTTTGGTATATATAGTTTACTGTTTCACACTTTCAGTTTCTGAAATAAAAATTGTCTTTCAGAAGAAGAGAGATTTGGTCAAATGGATTATTCTATGAGATGTTTGGATTATTTCACTAATGTCCCTTTTCTCATAAAAGTTGGTTTATGAAGCTAACCATAAATACATCGCAAAGTTGTAGTATTCACTGGGTTTGTAACTGAATGTCAGATCGAAAACTATATGACGGTGTTTTTTAAGAAGAACAAACTGTCTAGGACAGTTATGGCAAACCTATGGACGAGTGCTCAAACTCTAACCCAAAACCAACTTATTTATTGCAAAATGCCAGTACTGCAATTAGACCTGAAAACTGAGGTTTTATTAGAAAATATCTTTTGTTTTAAAAGAAAAACATTATGACATGCATGCTATAGTTTTGTCACCATGGGAGGTAGGCTATATTCTTAAGCTGTTCCTTCCAAAATCACCTAGTAGTCTGCTCTGGACCTCATCCTGTTGGTCATTTTCTTTATAGTGTGGCATATAAGAGGAAAAGTGTTCAAAAAGAAGAAAGTATTGTTCAGCACTTACGTTTAATGCCCATCCTCAAACTGCCTTACACAGTTCATGTTGGGATATCTTAAATATAAAATGAGAAATGCCTATAAAAGAACGGCAGCCTCTTGGACTCTTCTAGATACTGGGGATGTAGATGAATAGAAAACAAGCAAAAAGCTATGTTCTCTTGGAGCTTGTGTTAGGGTGAAGTAAGACAGACACTAGATAAGTAAAGTGGATTTTCTGTCCCTTAATGCCAAGTGCCTTGGAAAACACAAGGGACTTGGAGAATGCTAATGCGGTTGAGTGTGGCCACGGTTTGTAGGTTTGAATAGGTAGCAGTGGAGGCAATGCTGGCAAAGTAATGTTTGAGCCAAGAGCCAAAGGTGGCCATGTAGGGATCAGAGGGATACAGATTCCAGGTGAAGGCGGAGGACTACGTATTGGCCGAACAACAGAGAGGTCTGTACTGCTGAAGTGGAGCCAACCTGGGAAAATGGTAGGTGATAAAGTAGTAGCCACTGAATCAGGACCAGCCAGTGTGTTTTAAGAACTTGGGCTCTAATTTTTTTTTTTTTTGGTGTCAGGGATAGAACTCACAACCTTGTGCTTACTAGGCAAGCGCTTGAGCCACTGAGCTAAATCCCTGGCCCTTGGGCTCTAATTCTAATCAGTGAGAAGCCATTGGAAGATTTTGATCAGAAGATTTACATCTTAAAAACATTACTTAATTACTTTGTTGAAAATAATGTGTAAAAAGGGCACTTACAGTAGATGAGCAATGAATATACTTTTCTGTAATAAAGGAACAAATATATAAGTGTCTATTCATTAGAGAAAGAGTGAAAAAGAGTTGTGATTAATGCTCAGAATCCTGAAGAGATTTGGTTAATTTTCAGTACAGTCCTGATTGACACAGCTAGAATTTTCATTCTTAAAGCCAGAAAGAGCTCCTTTCCTACAGATACGAGTATTGTTTTACGAAGCAGATGATTAAGCTTTGAACAGTATTTCCTTAAAATATCTCAGTTGAAATTGTGAACTGTTTTAAACACAATTTAATAAATGATGCAGTAGGGATGGATCTATAGTAGACTGTTGGGTACCTCTGCTAGCTTTGAAATTAATATGGTCTCAGTATTAGCAGATACAATAAAGGGTTTGAGAGACCACTGACCTATGAATACAACTTTTGTTTTGTCATCTTTATCAACTCTGTAGTCAAATAATTCAGAATCTGTGATGCTTCCAGTATGATTTATTTTTATTTATTTTTTCTTAGTTCAAAGGAAATAGAAGACGCTCAGTCCTCTGAGTCGCTTGGTAGCCAGCAGATGAATCTCAGTATTGGTGAGGACAGCACTGGCAGCTGGTCCAATTTAAGTTTTGAGGATGAACACCAAGATGAAAGCAGCAGTTTTCACCACCTCAGTGAAAGGTAACTGCAGCTAATTCTGTAGTTTAGGTCTTGAGACCTCAGAAATGAGCTGTAAATTTACTTTGATTGTATTTAAAAATCCTAAATTTTGGAAATCAAAGTGTATTTTACATACAATGTTTTTTTTAGCTTGGACACTTATTTAATGCAGTAGTTAACTGAGCTCATTTTCTTTGGGTGTACCAATAACTGATTTGAGAAATAGTATAGACTTTTTTTTTCATCTTCTAAGCCTTTTCTAAAGTTTTCAGGAACATGTTTGTAGAAACTTTAGAGGGGACTTTTTTTGTTTTCATTTGAGGATAGAAAAAAGGACAGGGATCAAAATAGCCATATGATTCTTGATGATAATTAAAATACAATTTTTTGGAGGGAAAGGAAAGGGCCCCTTGTATTAGTGTTAGAAACAAAATACACTGGAGCATTTATATGTGCTTGAAAGATTTAAAAGTACATAAATCAAAGTTACTATAAAAATATGGGGTTTTTTTTATACCAGAAGACATTTACCTCACATGCAACCTTTCTTAGTTCACTTTGTTCATAACAATATCTTTGAAATATTTTATTAATTATACAAAGTATTTATTTCTCATATTATCCCAAACTAAAGACATTCATGACTGACCTATAAATTCCCATAAAATTTTTTATCCACTTGAGCTGATAATTGAAAGTAGTAGATATTATCCATCGCTTTAGGGAGGGTAAGGAGTTCTCAGCATACTTGAGGTTTGAGATGTAAATGGAAAAGATCCCATAAGCCTTCCGCTGAACTGAGCCCTTGGAATTGGGTCACAGGGAGAGAGAAGAAGACTGTTGGAAGGGGGATGAGGACCTTCTGCCTTCCACCTTCCACCTAGAGAATGTTTGCTTGATGCTTGGATTAACCAGTATTAATATTTTTATAAAGTACATGTTTTGTCATAATTTGCTATAATGCTTAGAAAAATGCTAGCATTTCTTAAAATCTAGATTCAAAAAATAGTCTTTAAAAGTGGTAGAAGCAAATGGGGCCATGTCACAGATTACAATTTGTTTTGGTCCTTTTCCATAATTTCATCTAGAATACAGTATTAATATGTAATTTTTCTTTCTCTCATCTTTGAGAAACGTAAGCTTCTGGGGTTTCAGTGAGAGGTGACATTGTTGCGTAGGAAATCCTGGTATAGAACAGGAGAACTGTGGTAGAAGCCAGCGGTCCTAAAAGGACTTGTAGTCAGTTGAGCACCCTCCAGAGGTCTAACTTATTTAGTAAGAATAATAGAATAATGTATCAGACTCTGTCTTTCATTCTCTTCTCAGCATTTTTTTTTTTAAAGGGAGATTTATTATTTTTATTTAAAAAGAAAAAAGAAGCATTTTTAAACAGTATTAAAAACTATTTATCTGTGAATAACTTAAAAACAAAGCTGAAAAATAATCCTGTTAACAAAACCAAGATCAAGGCAGGCTGAGACTAAAATGATTACACTTAATATGAATAAATGCCTTTAGGTTGTAAAGCTGGCTTGATGGCTTCTTGTCAGAAAAATAGGGGAACTACCATTGCTATGTGGGTTAAGGTTCAAGCACAAAGAACAAGATAGGTCTATCCTAAGTTGGCAGGACAGTTGCTGAACATATGGTTCCCTGGACCTCACATCCAGAGGTCGATTCAGTAAGTCAGTGGAAGGCCTTGAAGATGCTTTCGTAATTTTAGTGTAGGTGCTTTGGAGGGCACAATTAAGATAGATTGTTTTAAATATTAGATCTTTTGGTGACATTTGCTGTAAGTACTGTTCCTTTCTGGTAAAGGGATCGAGATGAGAGATAATACCTTGCACTTTCACTCTAAGGAATTTAAGTAGATGACAATTTTTAAAAATGATTTCAGATTTTCACAGTACTATATAATTATTTGATCAGAAAGATAATGGCCTGTGAATGTTAATATGTTAAAAATATTTCAAATGGTTTATGAATCTCTAAAGAGATGGGGCCAGACTTGTAGAACTCTTGAGATAATTCTTATGAGCTGTGTCAGGGTTGATAGTAATCTTCATATGGCTGACAGCCAACATAAACAATTTTAGTATTTGACCACCACTAATTTCAAGATACAGGTATTCCTATTCTAGACACGGAGAATATGAAAAGCATAAAATGATGGAAGCAGAACAGTGTTTCAAGATGAAGTAGGAAGTTTATTAGTCAAGAAATTAAGATTTTTAAAGAAATTCAGTTAATATAGGGTGATCATATGTTTCAGTTTATTCAGGATAGTGCTAATTTACTTATGGTATTCTGGTGTAATTATTAGTTGTGACTCCTTTTCAATTTGAAAAGTACCCAAGTTATATGAAAAATTACATGGTCACTCTAGTTAGAAGTCGTATTTTATAAATAACTTTAATCTTTAAATCTGACCCATTTTTAGGTGCATAAAGGAAGAGGGAATGAGGTTAGGGAATTCAAAATTTTAGTCTTTATGTTGTTTAGCTGTTCTTTTTGTGATTCAACTAATAATTAGGTGATGGATTTCTGTTATTAATGCAGGACTCACTATTAGGACATAGGTAAGATTTCAACTTTGTGATTTTTGTTTAGATAACTAGTTTATTAATAAAATAACTACAGTTATTTTTGAGATTATCATTTTCCTATTTCTCTTTGGCTGATAGCTGTCTTATCATTCTGTATTTCTGTATTTTCTCATTTTTGGTTTGTCTGACCACACTACATTAAAACTCTGGTTGTTTTAATGGTTTTGTAATTTAGCTATATTTGGTTGAACTTACATTGAAAAAAACTTCAATTTTATATTTTATTCTCTATTACATTATTGGTTTTGGCAGTTTAATAGTGTTACAGTCAATACGGAATGTGAATTATTTGAGATTTCTTGGAAACTATTTAGAATTTTAGTCATCTTTTGTTTTGGTAACCTGTCAACACTTACTGGTATACATGAAATAATTCTAATTCATGTTTTGGAACCAAAATTTTAGTTTGTATAAATATTAGTTTTTATAGTTACCTCGCCTGACACTGGGAAATATAGCTGCTTATCACTGCAAACTAATGGCTTACTAATTATTTTAATAATTAAGAATGATTAGAATCTTTAAAAATTGCATGTTAAAAGTTTTACTCTGAAAAATCGTATTCGTTTGTGAACAGGGTTGCTTTTTTAAAGTAGTTGCTTTGCTGTAGTTGTACAGTGTGGTTGCTTTCTCTCCCTTTGGTGAGGTGATGTGAGAAGTTATATGTGTGACTTTAGTGACTCACTGACAAGCCTTGGTTATTTCAGCTCTATTCTGAAGAGAGTGACTGCTATTTTCTACCTACCAAGTCATCCATAATCTATGAAATAAAGGTAGTTGGCATAATAAGAATATTTTAAAAATCAAAAGCAAAACTTGAGTCTGTGTTCAGTATACCCACTGGATTTCCTCCATACTGCTCACCCGATCCTATCCCTGTTTCGCACTACTTAAAAACTTGGGAGCGTCTTAAAGTATATTTTCCTTTTTAAATTTGATTCAAAATGAAACCTTTCTACAAATTATATCCTAAAATTTGCCATAAGTTGTTAATTTCATCATAAATTTATTGTGTCCTAAAAATCAGTTTTCTTAATACTCAAAGTAAATGTTACTTTAGAATAATTTTCATAATGTATTGAGAGAGGAAGAAATTCCCCAGCCTCTGTGCAAAGCAAGTGCTCTTTAAAGAGCTTCAGTGATGGTCTCATCCCCTCCCTGGATGCCCCATTATGGCAGCTTCAGAATTTGCAGTAACCCAGGACAGAAGCTGGTCCCAGGAAAACGAAGGTGGTTTTGCTAATCATTTTCTAGTTCAGCTCTGTTCTTTTTTTCCTCCAGCAGTAGTGGTAACAGCAGTAGCTGGAGCAGTCTTGGTTTAGAAGGAGATTTGTATGAGGACAATTTATCCTTTCCAGCATCAGACAGGTTGGTCCAGCCTGGAAGGTTAAAAGCTGATGAGTCTTTCACCACTAATGCATGATGTCATATCCTAAGAGAATGTGGGTTACAGTGCCAGTATGCATCAACCTGCTTTTCTTCTGTATTTTGACATGATTCTGCTTGTTAAATTTACATCTAATGGAAAAATTCAACTATGCTAAGGTCTGACTGACATCTAATTGACTGTTATGCATGGGTTGCTCTGCTTGCTATTTTCATTCTTCCAATTATTATTTCATTAAAAGAGCTTGCTTCCTACAGGATTTCTGTTGTTTTTTATTTTATTTTGTTTTTGTGTGCAGCTTTGTTTTATATATAAGAAAGTATAGAAAAGTATTTTCAACTGTGTTTAAAAAGAAGTGGCATCTTCAGAAGCATTAATGTTTCATTATCCATTACGTTCTTTGATACTCAAATGTTTTATTATCTGAAGTCAAATTACAACAGTTCAGCCTTAAATTATTTGAAATTGAATTGTATAAGAAATCCCTTGGCTGTGAACACAGTGAGGCAGGACTTCCTGGTGACTGGTAGCTCGCCATCATTTGCAATGCAGCTTTTAACATGAAATGATGTGAGAAGCAAAGCTTCCTTCTTACTGTCATTTCTCCCCTGTCTTAATGTCATGTCACATTGTAACATTCATTTCTTAACTACATTTTAAAGGAGTTTTAATACATTATTAATTGAGCTCTTTTGTTTTTTAAAAACTACTTCTATTTTCTTCAAAAAGTGATGAATCGGATGATAAAGATGAAGAGCATGAGGACGATGTGGGACGTAAGTGACAATTTGTTTTCCGAGGGTTTGTTGTTACTGTAAGGGTCTCGGGAATAATCTTTATGGTTTCTATTTGTACGTTTTGTCAGGTTTGTAGTGTAAGACATCGCAAATCAGGGTATTCCTACTGTATTTTGGGCCAGTTTTACACCCTTTGTTGAGCAGTTTGTGTTAATTGCCGTACTATTGAGGTGCTCATTAGTGTAAGGACTAAGACATTTTTTTATTTTATTATTTATTAATTTATTTGTCTTTTTTGAGACAAGGTCTCACTGTGCAGTTCAGGCTGGCCTTGAATTCACTTTGTAGCCCAGGCTGGTCTACAGTTATCCTCCTGCCTTAGCCTCCCAACCTGGGATTACAGGCATGTGCCACCATGCCTGGCTAAGACTAAAATATTTTAAAAGAATTATTCAGTTATTTGAGAAATGTTTACTTCTTTTATAATCATATTTTAAAAATATAAAATATATCCTTATGTTATAAGATATAATTTATTATAATTACAGCATGTTACTCTCATAATATTTTCCTTCCAATCTGGTAACTTTTAAAGTTAGTTTTTCATATTATCACACTGCACAAATCAGTAAGTGAAAATGAAAAGGGTTTTTAAAATCCTTCCACAGTCTTCCCTCCTCCAACTCCAGCCAAGAGTCATGCATGTACTTATTTGAAGAAAATATTCAAAATTTCCTTTAATGAACATAGTTCTAAATAGGTCACCACTAGGTATCATTGTTCAGTTTTAGACCATGGTTTGTAATCCTTAGTTCATATATTAGAATATCTAATGAGTCCAGAAACTTTTCACATTGAAGCTGAGTTGTAATTATATTCAGATACTGGTTGAGTTTTTCCTTAATTATAAAAATGCTAGTAACATCTGTAGAGTAACACATGTAAATTAAAAAAAAATATTTACACTGTTCAAGATACTTGATTCAGAAGCAATGAAGTTTTGGGTTGTTTTTCAGAAGTAGGCAAGCTGAGAAAATACTGAGGAGAATTTCTTGAAAAATGCTTTATGACACCTCAGTTTATTAACCGTTTGTACTTCCTTATTTAGGGAAGTCATGTATCAATTTTAAACTGCAATATTTAACTTAAGATAAAATGTTCTTGTGTCTTACGTCTTTGTAAGTAAACATTGTGTATAAATCTACCAGGGCTATTTTTCTTATCAAATAGAGTCAGGTTAGAGCAGCAGTTTTAGAATTAGTGATAAGCTAGGTAATGCTTACTTTCTGGGTGTCTTTTTTCTAATTTCCACTAAGAGTGTTGACTTTGTTTAAAAATTGTATACTTTTTCCCATTTCATGTCTGTGAGCGAAGCTATCCCAGATACTACCGTGGTACCAGTGCATGTGATAAGTGTTTCTCTAATGAACTAATAATTGTTACTTTAACTTACTTTACTGAGGAATGATTAAGAGAAAAGAAGATGCAAGTTAATACAAATAAGAAATTCATTTACAAAATTTCATTTTGACATTAAGCAGGCTGTTCAGAATTTCTTTTCTGAGTAGGTAGGAATCAGGAGATTAATGATATGCATGTATGACATTACTCAACTTTTGAGATTATAGGCATCTCTCATGTAGAAAATAATAGTCAATTTTCATATTTAATTTAAAAGACAGATTGGCTTGGATTTATAGAATAACTAAAGATCGTAGAAGTCTTTTTTACCGTTGGTCAGTCTCCTCTCTAAAGAGAGCTATTTTGAAAAAAATTAAAATAAAGAGAGCTATTGGAAATTTTCTCAGACCATCAATCAGCAACCCCAACTAGGAAAGCCCAGCAATACAGAGAAGTGCTAGGTGACTTCCAACCACATGAACTTTGTAAGATTTATAAAATGACTAAGACCTTGTCTTATACCATAGTGTACTTGATCTGCTTTTGATTGAGTTACTGGAGAAAAGAAAGGAAAGAGCAATAAATTTAGTTCTAGACACTAACATAGACCAGTTTTTTAAAGTTAAACATTAAGGACCAGCACAGAATGATTAGTAGTGATTTAGAGTATTTAGCAAAAAACCAGGGATATCCATCACCAACATTTCCATTACTAGTGAGTATTGACTGGCATGAAGTCTGCCAGTGTGCCCTTTATTGTAGGGTATGGAGAGTTCCAGGCCCAGCAATCAGTATTGCCCAGTATTTAACACTCTCAGAAGGAATGTTAAATATGTAATATTGGCCTCTAGGTCATTAGTTTTGCAGTCATCAAGAATACATCCTTCTTTATGTTGAAAATGAATTGTTGTTAATTATAAAATAAACTTGAGAACAGCATCCTTTTTATATTAGAGTCATACTAGAGAATTCCCTGGTCTGGCTTTTGAGATACAAGTAGTTATGTATTTTTCCTGTTTTACTTGAAGAATGAGAAGAGCACAGAGCTATATACTGTGTTCATAGCTTGTCTTAGTCAAATCCCACTGTAAGACTCTTGGTGTGCTTCATAGCTCATAGAATACTTGTGAAGGTTAAAGGAATTTTTTTATATAAAAAAGCCTAAAACAATATTATACAAACAATTGTATAATATATGTTATATAATTGTTTACTTCTTTGCTTTATTTGAATATATATTCGTGTATTTAATTTTTATTTTGATTTCAATGATAGTTTTATATTCTTTCCTTTTCCTTGTGGGTCCTAATTTGACCCAAATTATGGCATTAGTAGTATTTGAATTCAGTACATTAAAATACTATTTTACATTTGTACAAGTGATCCAAGTTAATCCTTGTTTGAGCATTTTTTTTCTCTTTTGAAGGAATGTTTTAGTTGATGTTATGATATGTCAAAAAATTTGTTGGAATTTATGACATGGAAAAACTATATATATGTACTTGGAAATCAGTATTAAGAATTGAATTAAATTTTATTTCATGTTGTTTACATTTATTAGATTTGGAGGGAGATGAAAAGACTTTGCTGATTACGAATATTGACTTGGAGCCATGTACAGTAGATCCCCAGTTAAGGATTATTCTTCAGTGGCTCATTGCTTCTGAAGCTGAAGTTACAGAACTTTATTTTCATGATTCTGCAAAGAAGGAATTTATATTAGTAAGTACCCGCCTGATGGAGTGGTTATGAGGGTATATTTAACAGTATGTAATATTCTTGTTAGATTGCTGGTTTAATAAGATGCCTGTTGAAAGCAGAATGGTCTGTGGGTCCAACAGTTTGGGTTCAGATGCCAGCTCTGCCACCCCCCAGCAGTAAAATCGTGGGCAAGTTGACCAGTCAAAGTCTTAGTTTCTTTAGTTGCACTATTGAAATATGAGCATAGAATTTATAGGATTTGTGAAGATCCAATTTAATACTATAAAAATGAAAATGTGTAATGGTTGGCATATACCTAGATTTCATTAATAAATATTTTATCGTTCTTATGAAAAGATCAAGTTATTCTCTAGTTGATTCATAATTGTACTTAATAATTAATATGGGTCTTTAATATTAGCTCCATGCATATGAGAAGTTGGCATAATCAAAAGCCAATGAAAGTAGAAGATACTTTTACTGAGCATTTAGTGTGGTCCAAATACTTTGTTAGTCTAGTAAGTTTACTGTCTTAAGAGTTTTTGTCCTCTTTTTTTGTCCTTATGAAAACTTTACTTTTATCATAGGGTATAAAGTAGTCCAATGAATAAACAAATACATATTGTTCAATAGTGAAAATAAATTCAAGTTACTCTCATTTTCTGGTTCAGAATTTATGAAGATGTTGAAAGGAGTACATATGAGATTGTATAATTGAAATTTTTTGGTCATTTTAATTTAAATTTTTAGTTTACATAAATTAGTTATTTCATTTTACATAAATTACGTTTTTTAATTTACATAAATTTTGATTTGAAGTAAAAGGAGAAAATAAGACAGAAAGGGATGCTCAGGAAATGAATTCTCAAAAGGCAAGAATGAGTAGGGGAATTGTTAGAACTGACCTTTGGGAGCCAAACATTTTCCAGAGTCACTTTCAGGTAAACTGAGGCCTGCAAGAAGGCTTTTTGTGGAGCTGTGAGTTAAATAATAGTTGTCACCATGTCATGCAGCCTGGGTCTTTGCCTGATTATTGAGTGAAATGGGATGCTTAAATGTGGATGACAATGCCTTCTTACGTTTACTGTTTATTTTAAATAATGATATTTGTTGCCCATGCCTGGTTAGAACCCCACAGGACTGCTTGGAAGCTATGAACAGCTAATGTGCAGTACGGTATATTTTTAGTGATAATGAAGATAATAGAAATAACTTTTTTTTTGTCTTTCTGGATAATATACTATTAATTTTGGTAGTTTCATTGTTAAATAAAATAAATAAGCATTATTACCATAATCATAAATAGATGAGAGATAATTGTATAGAAACCAGAAAATACAAAAGTATACCTACATAAATGAAAAAAGACAAAAATATATAAAAATTAAGGACTTTGGTATTCCAAAGGATACTATCAAAAAAGTGAAAAGGTAACCTACAGAGCAGATGGAAATGCAAATTGTTTATCTGGTAAGGATCTTACACATAGTATATATAAAGAGCTCCTACAATTTAACAATAAAAATGTAAAAAATCTGATTAAAAAATGGGCAGAGAATCTGAATCATTGTTATGGCTCTTCCAAAGAAAACAGATAGCAAATAAGTACGTGAAAAGGTGTTCAACATCATTAGCCATATATAAATCAAAACTACTGAGTTTCACACCCACTAGGATAACTTTAATCTGAAAGGTGGTAAGTGTTAGCAAGGATGTGGAGAAACTGAATTTGTTCTGTTGCCGGTAAGCCTGAATGGATGCAGCGACTTTGGAAAACAAGCTGACAGTTCTTCAAAAACTAGTATGATATCTAGCATTTCCAATGCTTGATGCATTCGAGAGAAAGGAAGGTGTGTCCACACAAAAGCTGGCTCACAAATGTTGATGGCAGCATCATTCCTAATAGGTAAACAGTGGGAGCACCCCACATGTCATCAGCTGATGAGTGAGTAAAATGTCATATATCCGTGCAGTGGAGCTTTGTCAATACAGATAAGGAAGTATAGTAGTACCGGGGTTCATAAACTTACTTCTTTTCACAGTTCTAGTCACAAACCAAATTGGATGAGAACCAAATCAGATTTATTCATAAGGTCAGCATAGAACCTAACCAGTGAAGTTAGTTCAGTTCTCATCCAAATCAATACATGACCAGAACTGTGGAAAAAATTAAGTTCATGAACCAAGGTACCACTGTACTAACACGTCCTAACCCAGCTTAAAATAATTAGCTAAGCAAAAGAAGATCATAAAAGATCACACATATGAGTCCATCTATGTGAGCTGATCAAAATCGACAAATCTACAGACACCAAAAAGTTGCCTAGAATCGAGGAGTTTGATTGCTGATTGGGTAGGACTTTTCTTCGGTGTGATAAGGGAATGTATTCTGATATCAATTGTGATGTTAGGTGCATTCAACTTGGATAGAATACGAAAAGTCATTGCATGTGCATCGTATCCCAATAAAGCTGTTTTTAAAAATATTAATATTTATAATACTGAAAATTAAGATAGTTTTTCAGAATTTAGCTTTACAGTTCTTTCAAAATTGAACAACTTTTACAGAACTAAGAAAGTAAGTGAAATCATGGCCAATTGGCTGTGGTAGAATTTATTTAAACCCAGTATTTATTTACTTTTTTAGTTGTTTTTTGTTGAAACATTAAAATTTCTTAACTTAGAAAGCCAAGTTTCCATCAAGGCTAGAGAGTTTATTCCAGAAAAAAACCTCACACTGTATATTGTGGGAGGAAAGTCCACATTCTTTTATTTTAAAAAAAATTTTTTTTATTATTTTGAAGGTAGTAAAATACAACAGAACAAGATGGAACAAAGCTAATTTAGACAGTGTAGTGAAATTGGCACAGAACTTCACAGCAGGTTACTGGGATGACAGTAATAGGTGCCATAGTATATCTCGTTATTTTCACAATAGTTGTTCTTTCAGTCATGTATAGCAAAATAAAACTAAATACAGAACATTATAGAAATCATCAAAACAGAGTATTGAATAGAGCAATACCATTAACCAGAATAAAGCAAAACAGTTGTAAAAATATTTGCCTTCAAAGAGATGGTAGAAGCAAATCCCCCTTATTTGCTATATTGCATATGGTCAACCTCCCAAGAGATGCTCAGATCTCTGGTTCCCATTTGCTAACGGCGGGTGTTTGATTCTCAGCCCGAATGCTGGGAGGCTCACTACCGCTTAGCAGGGGGGCAGCTGGTTGCTTGGTTTCCCAGTGCCCTAAGTTTCAACATGGCACAGCCACATCCTTTTATTAAGCTTGATGTTGTCTTCATTATTTCATGTTCCTGATTGAGGGTGTGGCAGATTATTTAATTAGGTGAAGAATTTCCTGTAGTAATTTAGCCTCTGTGCTCCCACTAGACTGCCGATGGATGAGGTCTGTGGAGCAGTCACCAACAGTCACAAAGTGTCATTCTGTGGAGGAGATGTGTTTATAAAGGCAGGAAGGGAAAATGGTTCATTTGGGTAAAGGGATGGTGGTTTAGGGGAGAAGACATTGTTGTACCTGGGAAAGAATATTTAGTTGTGGACAACAGGATTCTGAGTTTTATTTAATGATAAAAAATTGTTAGAAATTTGTTTTCTGTTAATGTTTGATACATTTTTCTTTCTTAGATTTCAAAACGGTTACAAGAGAAAGGATGGAAAGTGGGAGACCTCCTGCAGACTGTGCTTAAATACTATGAAGTGATGGAAAAAACTTCCAGCGAGGAGAGATGCAAGTCACTGTTTGATTGGCTTTTGGAAAATGCATAGAATAAACCCCAAACCAGTATATTTTATTATTTGTTTTGAAAGGGGAAGAAAAAGATATGTTTAGGGTAAATTTGAATAGTAAATATGAACATTTTAGGTGATTTGGGAGGAAAGTACAGCTTTTTAAGTGCTTTCTGTCATCACAAAGTGTATATAGTTCATACTTTTGTAATCCCTGTTAAAATATTATCTTTACCTGTTCTTCTGTGCACATAGGTAGTGTGTGTAACATATGTGTAAAGGAAGGAAGGTCAGTCGGTCAGTTGGTCGGAAGGTCTTTCCATAAGGTTTCTGGGGACATTGTCTGACCACATTTGTTTCGCATCCAAAGAGTCCTGCTTGAAACTGCGGTGGTGGAGAGGGAGGTGGCCCCTGGTAGAGTTATAACCGCTCCTTTGCAAGTGATATCTGACTCATGACTCATCATCGGTAACCAAAAAATAAAATTAAGGTTGGTTGGTTTGCTTTTGGCAAATTTTTAGACTTTTTATCCTGTTTTAAAAAATCAGTTTTGTCATTAGCTCAGCTGCTGACAATTTTTGGTTCCCTCCAAACTGTTTAATTTTTTAGCAGGAATATTATTATTTTAGATTTCTGTAACTACCATGAGTGATAGTTTCTCAGGCCTACTGTCAAATGACATTATTTGCTAATACTACCAATCATTATAGCATGAATGTGTACGTGTGTGTGTGTGTGTGTGTGTATGTGTGTGAGTATGTTTGAATGTGTGTAAAGGAGGACTTTAACCTTGTCATTGGTTTGTTTCCTCTTTTATTTTACTCTTTTCTTAGTTAGAAACCATTGTTAACATTGAAAAGGTGCTTTAAAATAAAATGTCTGTAAGATTATGCAGTAAGCATTATGAATTTACCTAAAAATGAAAATTCAAGTTGAAAAACAATGAAATTTAAAAAGTAATGTTAATTCATAGGAGCCTAATATTTTTCATTGTTAGAATTTTTGAGAAAAATAAAACCCTGCTTATCAAGAATTAGTTAATCTAGAAAAATTGTGACCCTCTTCCCCAAACACAATGTATCTGCAATACTTTGTGAAGTTCTCTGCATGATCTTTCTGGGCTCCACATTTCCTACTCGTTATCTTCAGAAAAGGCAAGGTGACCTGAACAGAAGGACCAAGATTGTGTCTTGGTTTTACATGTGTAGGTATGTATGTGCAACTTATTAATTCTTCCAGTAGTGCATTTTGTAATGTGGGATAAATCAGTTTTTCCTGTAGGCTTTGGTTTTTTTTACTACGTTGTTTCCCTCCAAAAATTATTTTGGAAGCTGCACAAAGTGTAGAAGACATAGCATCTGTCAGGGAATACAGAATCAGGACAATTACAGCAATTTGAATTAGTAGTTGTGGTAGAGAAATATGATTTGTAGTGAAAGATTCAGATTTGCTTTTTAAGAAATACATCAAAATACTTAAATATTTTGAGGTTACACGGCGGGCTTTGGTTTTTCTCAATTTAAGACACAGGTATAGGATGATCCTCAAACATAAAGTTTCCTAAAAGTCCTTCAGGTGTCTTTTGAGGCAAACAAAAGGAAATACATCATGAGGATTGTTTCTGCCTTTAGTTGTTAAGAATTTGAGATGAGGCCGCACTGGATTGGAGTTTAAATGTTAGGACTTGGAATGTTTGCTCTTCTTCGTTGTAAATTAATTGATTAAGGTCAGATTACATTTTTACAAGTAACTATCAAATTGTATTTGGTAATTTGAGTGTAAATATGGATTGGAGCAACAACGAAACTGGGTTCCGAATTTCTTTTAAAGTGACGATATATTTTGTAAAAGTTTCTGTGTTTGAAATGCTTATGTTAATTTATGTTAATGATACAGTCATTTTGAGGTAAAATTTTTGACGTATTCTTACTTTCTTTGCATTTTGCCGGAGCCGTGCTGGGTTCAGAGTTCCATTGTCTCACCACTACCTAGGGAAAAACCAGTCGTGAGGTGTTAGCATGCGTGATGATGACAACAGTGGAACTCCACGTGTGCATCAATTCAGTGCAGGGACATTGAGAAAAATGTTAAATATTGGTATATGTAAAAAGAAACGTGAGTTAAGCTTCCTTGTATAGAGAGAACATTAGAACGATATCTTTTAATCATGTACAGTCTAAATTTAACTTTCTTTAAAGACTCTGATTTCTCCAAAGATGTTATAGATCTGTTTGGTTGCTCAGTCTTGAAAACAGCTGTGTTGCGGGCAGCTCTGTCTTGCTTTACTACAAAGCTGCTTGACATATTTATATTGTAACATCATCATATTGCCATTCTGTACATTTTGGTCTTAATGAAATATGTCTTATTCAAAATTATTAAAATTGTGATATGCAGTGAGCTGAATTCTTTGTTTACCAGTTTGAAATCATTGTGTGATCCACAGAAATAAAGTGAGTGAAACCTCTTAATAAGGGTTTTCACAACATTCTTTCAGTCTAAAATAGGGCAGTTCTTTCATGTTCTTTTCCTAAGCCAAGGTTAAATTAATTTGTATTTTGGGCATTATTAATATAAATTTTGAAAATGCTTCCTCATTTAATAAAAATGAATGATTCATTTATAAATCATGGAAGAAAATGACGGTGTCCTTTGGATGAATGAATGAATATGATTTAGTGGCATTAAACCTTTTAGAGTAACTCAGTGAACAAATGTGATACCTTTATATTTAAAAAACGTTGCACTTACCCTCTCATATATTTGATGTGAATTGACTCATAGTAATTTAATTCTACTTAAGGGTTTTATATTGCTGGTAGGAGAATTTAATTGCTTAAGTAAGGTATGTATAAAATGAAAGATCATTTACCTGTCTCACATTACTACACGTTCCCCAAATGCAAAGTGTAGTTTTTGCTCATCAGAGTCCTGTCTGACGATAACTACTTAATTTCTTAGCTAATATTATTCCACAGTTAGTATCATCAGTTTCCCACCAGTATATCACTTTGCATTTTATGTTTTTCAAAGAAACTTTACACTGAATTTTAAAAATGATGCATCCATACTCAAGGTTTAGGAAAGAGCCTTTGCATTTAAAACCCTGTCCACCTGTTAACTGCACAAGAGAACTAGAGCATCAGTGGGAATTAGAGAAGTTGTACTGTAAAGCGAGATGCGTTTTTTCTCATTTTCAGAAAATCCTGCAGAACATTTAATCCTTTACTGTATTCTTGCTCTGAAGATGCAAATACAGTGTTAGTCACTCTTGTCACTTTAATTAATTTATTTTTATTTTACCATCCATGTACATTCCTTTCATTTAGAGTTGTAGTTCTAGAAGTTCTCATTTGTTATTGTTGTTGTAATGTTTGAATACTGTTTTAATACCAGGTTTTAATATTGCTGAATTTGCTACCTTTGGTTACTTGTGCAGTGTTAAAAAGTAATCCACATTCTTGTTTAATTACCAGGTATATAAAAAGAAGCTTTGAATAATTATAACTGTTTATTTGGCTGTGCTCAGTTATTATGTAAAGATCTTACACCATGTAACAGTAAGTTTTTTGCTCTTCAGTAATTAAATGTTTGCTTACCAAAATAAGAATTTCAGGTTGCACTAAACTTTTGTGTTAGTAGTGGCTTTAAAAAAGTTTTGAAAATTACTTTTGTAATAATTTGCAATTAATTGTTCTTTTACAGTCGTTTAAGCCTGTGATTTCCTCTCCCAACTAAGAATTCTTCAATAAATTTAAGAAATGTATACCTTTGGTTTTCATTCTGTAATGCTTTATTAATTACTCAGTACTGCAAGAGTGCTGTGACAGAAGGCAGGCGAGGCTCTAACACATACACCCCTTCTATAATAGAAGACACACAATCTGGATGCTCATATCTGGGCTTTTGAGAACAGAAGTTAGCAATATGTTTTAATTGGACATCTACTTGCAGGTATCTCTGAATCTTGATATAAGTGACTTAAAAGCCTTTCTGTGCAGTCTGTTTTGGGTTTACGGCACAGTAGAACATTGTGATTGCTGTAGGCATGAGCATGTACATTCTGTGGGTTTGTATAATGACATGTATCCACCATTGTAGAAGCATGTGAGTAGTTTATTTTCTTATCTGACATACTATTAATCCAGAAATTAGAGAACAGGTTTGAAGTTTCCATTAATGTTTTAAAATGCTAGGAAGTAGTAGCGGGCAATAGGAAGACTTAAGTGTAAATACATGGCAGTCACAAAACAGATTGCTGATAAATACTAAGCAAGATTCCATAGACTGATTCTGGAAAGGAGAAACGACTCCAGAGAATGGGAAGTGTGGCAAAGGACATTTGAACTCTTTAACACACAGATTTACACTTCATTCTTCAGTAAGATTTTTCTGATATCTTAGGACACCAGATAGTATCTAGATTTTAATAGGGCATTTTTGATACATTTTTGAATGGAGAGGAGACATGAACAATCATGACTTTCTCATGTTTTGAGACTATCCCCAAGGACTACTAGATCACTGTCTGTCTGCAGTGAGTGCTGTGATATGTTATGGGCCACTTCATGGTTAGCCTTTCTACAGACTTGTGATGAAGATTTCTTTGGGATACACTGATCATTGGTGTCCAAGAGCTTTCCTGGCATGCCATTGCAGCAGTATCAGAGGACAATATTCAAACAGGAGACATAAATGAGAGGAGTGGAGAAGGAGCTCTAGGTCAGTTTCCTCCTCTTATTCTTTGAACTATGAATTTGACATTTTCCTGTAAAGATAGAGAAATTCTGTGTTACACAGTAGACTTTTACAACTACGGACTAGGAGTGCCAGGGTAAGTAGGCCAGTGCCAGTCGCCTGCACCACCATCCCACTTGCAATTGTCTGCTGCACCTGAAAGAGCCAGATGTGTGATTTATTAAGCACAGCACTGGCGAAGGGTTGGAATGTAGTGGGATGGATGGCAGATCAGGAGGTGATTTTGCATGTTAAAATTGATATGGTGATACCCAAATGTCGACTGGTCAGTTGGTGACAGAATCCCAAATTTCAGGGATGTAATGGGTGCTATGTAGACATATATTGATGTTTGTAAAACTCACTTGAGGTTTTTGTTCTTCTTCTTCTTCTTTTTTTTTTTTTTAAACAAAAGCTTGCCATGTAGTTCACACTGGTCTAAAACTTAGTACATAGCACAGGCTGGTCTCAAACTTGAGATCTCCTGTCTCAGCCTCCTGCATGCTGGGATTACAGGTGTGTTCCGCCACTCTTAGCTTTATTTTTATTTGGCTGTGATGATAGCTTTATAGTTTTATCTTTGTGTCCTTCCCCAATGATTCTCAGCAGCAGTTGGGAATATGTCTGAATGAAGAAGAAGCTACAGGTAATTGTACTGCCCACCCTAAATCCCTGCCTCCATGGAGCTTGTTGTATGGTGAGGTAGAGAATCATCAAGTGAGTAATTAATTAGTGACTGTTGTCTGAGGTGAAGGGGCTGGAAACAGGAATTGAGTCAGAGCTGAAGCTTAAGCTAGATTTGAGCTTGATAGGAACACTCCAGACAAGGTGTCTGTGTGTGAGATTTCCGATAGAGCACAAGGTACCCCCAAGGGGCCCGAGGAGAGGAGCTTGTCTGAGAAAGCGGAGACTAGCTTGGATGGAGCGTGAATTGACACATCTTCAACAACACTTGCACATCGTAAGTGGAGTTTGCTACACTGCAGCAGTGAAAGTCCAGGGTATAGCAGGTGACTCTTGCTGGACTTCTGCTTTTTGGGTCATGCTTGGAGGATTGCATTTAGTGTTCAGTGCCATTATAACTGGACAGAGGTGAATGCAGCCATTTAGGTCCTTGACTGACTAATGTGGTAAAAGAGGTAAAAGGTTTTGATCAAGTTTTTACCAAATGAAAAGCCGTTTAAAGAAAGATGTGGGGCTGACCTCAAAAGTGTATTTAAAATTTATGAAGAAGCTTTTATTGGACATAAATTGAACGTTGTAATCCCAGAGAAAGGGAAATGGGCCGCTGGGTTGATACTAGTGGTGAGTTTCAGTTTGTGTTTTCAAATTTGGAGCCGGGCAAAATGAGATCCAGCCTGAATGGGAAGGGGTAAGGTTGTCCTAGAGAGGTTCTCCAGTGCTGGCTGCTCTCCCTGTTCTAAGTTTCAATAAGAAATCCAAACAATTTTTTTTAAAAAAAGGAAAAAAAAAAAAAGATCCAAACAGCTCATGACTTTGAATTTAGGTGGTCTTTGTGTTCCACATGTCCTTTCTGATGCACTTTTTTTCTCACTGTAGTTTAGTAAAGTAAGATCGTGGACTCTGGCATCAAAAGAACATGATGGGAAAATTTTGTCCTATCACCAAGGTCCTATATGACAGTGACTTGCTGCAGAGGGATTTTTCATTGACTTCTTGCAGGTACCTGGGTGCAGCTAGTTTTCTAGCACCTTAATTTAGATTCAGGTGTTGACATATTCTGAATCACTCCAGTGCAGTGGTGGTGAGCTTGTGTCATTATGTGTTATTTGTTTTTAAATGAAAAACGTAAATCGATGAGTTGTATTTTCTAAACTAAAACATTGGCACTTTGAGATAAATGAGTAGGTTTTGGGTTGTAGTTTGGGCACTCATCCTTAAAAGGCTCATCATATTGTTGAGGTGGCTTGACCTTGTGCTGAATATCCAGCCCAGGGCCTGCTCCTATGTGTGAAGGGGTTACGTTATCCTTTGGGATTCCGGCTGAAAGAATAGGTGACTTATGAGAATCCTTTTGTTATTGGTGGTGGAAAACATTGACTTTCGCTTTTCTTGCCCGGGAGGCTGCTGAAATGCTATTCTGGTACAGTTTTATACGATATAAGAAATAGGCTGATGAATTATTTTGTGCTTTTAAGACGTTTTCATAACTTTAGCCAACTTTTCCGCCAGTTCCAATTTATAATTTTTGTATTTTAAAGAGAATAAAGCCCAACAAAACAAAACAGAATAAAGCCAATCAAAACAAGTGAAAATGGAACAGAACTTCAAAGCAGGATAAGAGGAAATCATCAATGGCTACCATAATATATCTTGTTATCTTCATAATAGTTGTCCATTCCATCAGATATAGCAAAGGCAAACAAAATAAACCAGAATAAAACCAATCAAAACAGAACATTGAGTAAAATAAAACAATAAGTTGAAACAAAATAAAACAGAACAATACTGGATTTCTAAAACAAAACAAGGAAATCCCACATATTTGCTATATTATGTACTGTTATCCTCCTAATAGATGCTCAGACTACCAGCCATAGATCTGAAAAGTTAATCAAGCAGTACAAGCATTTAGTTATTTTTGTACCTCCATGATGAGCTGGTTGCTTCCCGGGGTAGGGAGGGGCCTTCTTGATCCTCAGCCCATGTATCTGTTGGCTCACAGAAAGTGTGAACTGGCTTCTTTCTTCCTGAGCCCTGCGTGGTTTGCATGGCTTCCCAGAAGGGCAAACTGGCTTCTTGTGCTCCTCCTAGAACCAGCATGGCTTCTCCTACTTTTAATATTTTAATTCATACTGATTTTTCTCACCTGCCCTCCTTTTTCTCTATCTATGTCTGTCTGTCTCTTTCCATGTGATATACCATTGATAGCCCTTTTATTTTCAAAGGGCTATATATGCATAAGGCATTAAATCCCAGAAAACATAAAAACATGCGGTGACGAGGGTGACTCTCACCCTTTCCAGTCACCAAGGGTCTCTTCAGAGAGACAATCACTATTACCAGCTTCTGTCCCACCAGCACTACACTCTACAGGATGTTTCAAAATTTGAATTGGCTATTGTAACTTACAGTGAATTTGAAAGTGTTAAAAAAAAAAAACAAACCAGGAAATAATGACCACAGTCATTTAATCAAAATAGTGGCTTTTCTGAAGTAGAAAGATTTACAGGAGTGCCAATAGTATTCTATTGACTAGGAAGGTAGTTACACTTTTGATAGATTTAATGTAGTTTTGTTTGTATATTTCATGTAATACATGTGCACATACAATATTTAAAAAACAACTGAAAAGCTGATGATTTTTTTTTTTTTTTTTTTTTTTTTGTCTTTTTCCTATTTATCGGTACCAGGAATTGAACTCACGACTGCCTGCTCCAAGGCAGGCACTTATGCCGCTGAGCTAAATGCCCAGTCCCTAAAGCTGATGATCTTAATAATGACCAGAAAGAAAAGATGGAAAACAAAATTGATTCACATCAGTGTGCTCAGTGGTTTTGATGTGAGTCAAGAAAATAATATCTTCAAAGTGCTGGTTTTAAAAAGTCGAGAACTTCATATTTTCCAAGAGTGAAAAAGTATTGAATGTAGTATTTAATAGAGTGAAGGAGCTTATAGTGAAATGTACCAAAATAAACTATTAAAGGATATACTACTTTTGCAAGAAAGAAATCAAGTTTATAAGGAAATAGTGAAGAAACAATGTTCAAAGTAATATTATCATTTTAGTTTTTGAGGCAGGGTCTTGCCATGTAATTCAGGCTGGCCTTAAACTCACTGTGTAGCCTAGGCTGGTGTCAAACTCATGGTGACCCTCCTGCTTCAACTTCACAAGTGCTGGGATTATAGGCATGTGCTACCATACCCAGTATGTTAGTTACTTTTATTGCTGAGACAAAATACCTGACACACAAAGTTAAATGGGGAAAAGTTTATTTAGCTCATAGTTTGTAGAGGTTTCAGTCCATAGTTGGTTGGCTCCAACAAGGAATGGCACATGGCAGAGGA